AGGAGTATCACAGGAGGCGAATGATGCTAATTTTGAAAGTGCATCCGTCTGGTTGTTTTCTGATCTCGGCACTTGGGTCAGATGGAAATCCTCAAGGGAGCCGACTGCTTGTCGGACCGCCTGTAAGTACTTGATCATGGCCGGATGGGTTGCTTCGTATTCGCCATTGTACTGACTCACTATCAATTGTGAATCGGAACAGGCGTCTATTTTTCTTGCCCCTGCCGCCTTGCACATGCGGATTCCGGCTAGTAAAGCTTCATATTCTGCCTCATTGTTTGAGGCCTGAAAACTGAAGCGTAGAGCATACTCGTACCTGTCGCCCTATGGCGACTGACATATGACGCCTGCTCCACAACCATTTGAAGTAGAGCTTCCATCCACATATACCTTCCAGACTTGGTCTGTAACTTGAGAGTCAGGAGGACGAGTCATCTCAACAATAAAGTCAGCAAAGGCTTGCCCCTTCACTGCTTTTCTAGGCTCGAAAGTAACTTCGAGGCTCTGAATTTCTATGGCCCATTTGATCATTCGGCCTGACGACTCCATGATGGTCAGTGGCCGCTTGATAGGTTGGTCTGTATACACGACGACTGCATGTGCCAAAAAGTAGGGCTTCAATTTTTTAACAGCCATGAAGAGTGCAAGACCAAATTTCTCCACTAAGGGATACCTCAACTCAGCATTTTTCAGTACGTGACTGACAAAGTAGACCGGGAACTGACAACCGTCTCTTTCAGCAAGGAGAACAGCGCTTAACGTATGATCAGAGACGGCCAGGTACATGTAGAGTACTTCTTTGGGCAAAGGGCTGACCAGCCTCGGCAAGGAATGCAAGTGAACTTTTAATTTCTGGAAGGCGGCCTCAGCATCCGGCCCCCATTCAAACCTTGCCTTTTTCTTAATTGCCTGGAAAAAGTATAGGCATTTGTCGCCTGATCGGCTTAGGAATCTCCCCAAGGCCGCCAGACAACCTGTTAACTTCTGAACCTCTCGGATGGTACGAGGCGACTGCATGTCAATGACCGCCTGCACCTTCTCAGGGTTCGCCTCTATTCCTCTCTGATTGATAAGGAATCCGAGAAATTTCCCAGACTCAACTCCAAATACACATTTCTTGGGATTGAGCATGACATGGTGCCGCCTGAGTGTGGCGAAAGTTTCTCGGAGGTCCGTCAGATGATCTTTCTGAAGTTTAGTCTTGACAATCATATCATCAATATATGCCTCGACGTTTCTCCCAATCTGATCAAAGAACACTGTGTTTATCATTCGTTGGAAGGTAGCCGGGGCATTCTTAAGACCAAACGGCATGACCGTGTAACAGTATAACCCCTGATCAGTGACGAAGGCCGTCTTCTCCTGATCTTTCTTCCATAAAGGAATTTGATGGAAACCAGAGTAGGCGTCCATAAAGCTCATCAAAGCATGGCCGGCTGTTGAGTCGACCAGGTTATCAATTTTAGGCAGAGGGTAACTGTCTTTGGGGCACGCCTTGTTTAAGTCTGTGTAGTCTACACACATTCGCCAGGTGCCATTCGGCTTTTTAACAAGCACCACATTTGCAACCCAGTCTGGGAAGTAACATTGCCGAATGAACCCTGCATCAAGTAATTTTTTAACTTCGGCGGCTGCCGCCTGTCTTCTTTCTTCGCCATGGTTCCGCTTCTTCTGCCGTACCGGCTTCTTTTTCGGATCCACGGCCAGTTTATGTACCGCCAGATCAGGACTAATGTCTGGCATTTCATGGACTTCGAGTGCAAAGATGTCATTGTATTCTTTCAATAGTTTGTGAAAGTCGTCACCTAGGACTCTCAGAGCAGTCGTCCCAACTTTGACTGTTCGGTCAGGACGCGAGTCGTCTAGGATCAGATCCGTATGCTCACCAGCCGGCTGAGGGCGGAATTCATCCGACCGCTCCTCTGCCAATGATTGCTATTTTCTGTCTTTTCGTGCGGCCCCTGTCTGAGATGTCTTTCTCTTCTTGCCGCCTGCTTTTTGAACAGGCGCACTCTCCTTGACATTGTCAAGGTCTAGTTTTCCACCACTCGACCCAGTGGCCATAACAGTGGGCTTGACATCCGAGAGATAGCACTCTCGGGCCATCCTCTGATCTCCCCTTAGGGACCCGACTGTTCCATTATCCCTCTCAAACTTGAGCAACATAAGAGATGGGATTATAACAGCCTTGGAATTATTCAGGGTTGGTCGTCCCAGAATCATGTTGTAGGCCGAGAGTTCTTTTACTACCAGGAACCGGACTACCATGTGTCGTACTTCCCCTTTTTCGCCCAGGCGGATGGGTAAATCCACTCGTCCCACTGGGTGGACGACTCCTCCTCCAAACCCTACTAAAGGGTGGGATGCCGAATGTATGCAATCAGTCTGATATTTTAGTTTCGACAGACATTTGCTACTGATGAGATCTGAGGAGCTTCCGGTATCTATGAGGATTCGGTCAACTCTCTGGTTGGCCACTTTACATTCAATAACGATAGGGTCGTCATGCGGCCCTCTTACCCCTCCTAGATCTTCTTCAGTGATGACAATCTCAGGAAATGAATATTTGGAGGGTCGTTCTTAGTGAACGGAATTTACATCTAACCGTCTGATATTGTCTTTGTTGCCCCTAATAGTGGGGCCGCCTCCTGAGAAGCCGCCTGCAATGGTGTAGACGACTGCATCATCTGTATCGGAGCTGTCGGCCTGTTGATTCTTTTTGGCTGACTGCTTTTTCGAGGAAGTGTTCCCCGTAGATTTCTTGACATAAGTGTCAAGATCACCTTGCTCAGCCAGGCGGTCCAGATACCGCATGAGACTGATGCATTCATTGGTGTGATGACCAACATCTTCATGATAAGCACAGAATTTTTCTTGGTTCCGGTTGTTTGCAGAACCCTTCATGGGGACCGGCTTCTCAATTGAGATCCGTCCCTTGATTTCCTTTAGGATAAACTGGCTATCCTTGTTAAACGCATACTTTGGGGAGTATGGTTTGAATTCTTTTTTCTTTTTCTGGGCCGGCTGTTTAGAGGAATCAGCCGCCCAGACCTCTTTTCTCTTCTCGTCTTTGTTTGACGACTGTTTCTGTCGTCCTTCTCTTTTGTCGAACCTTTTCCCGTCCGACTGTTTTCCCGTACTACAAAGATCAGTCGCCTGTATATAGGCTTCCGCTTCAATCAAGGCCTCTTGAAGAGTCGCCACCCTCTTTCGGACCAAATCAAATTTGAAGGACGACCCGTCTTTGAGACCTCTGAAAAAGTCAGTATAGGCTACTTCATCCGGTAACCCTTGAATCTGTATTCTCATCAGGTTAAACCGCCTGATGTAAGAACGAAGCCCCTCCTTCTCGCCCTGCTGAATTGTTCCTAAATCAAGGGTCGTCTTCTTCGCAGGGATGTTCATGGCGAAGTTGGAGGTGAATAAGTAAGCAAGCGTCCTGAAGTTATTTACACAACCAGTCGGCAGGTTGCCGAACCATTGTTGTGCGATTCCTTTGAGAGTCGCTGGGAAACACTTGCACCAAGTGGGATCATCCAACCCTTGAAGGTACATCAGGTTGGTAAATGCCATCAGATGGTCTTCTGGGTTAGTAGTGCCGTCATAGGCGCCTACTAATACATTTTTCACTTTAGCCGGCTGAGCGGCGTCAGTAATTTCCTTGGAGAAGGCCGACGGTTGTTCGCCAAGTCTAAGTAACCGTAGCTGTCAGTCCATAGGTTGGACGTTTTTTGCTGCATGTCCACCAAACGGAGGTGGCTGTAAGAAATACTGTTGTTGCGGTAAAACGGTAAGTTTGGTACCGCCTGGTCGCTATGAAAGTCGGACTGACGGGAGGTGCCGCCTGACTGACTCTCATGATACGACTGAGTGTGCCTCATCGAGGTATTTTGCAGACTGTCTTGAAAGTTTGAAGTAGAGGCCGACTCTGACAATCGGTCACTCTTCTTCTGCTCTAGCAGTAGCCGAGCGTCTGTGTATGTTTTCCTCGACCCGTCTGCCTGAATATGACGAACAGGTTTCCTATTTCCTGGAGTAGGAAAACGGTATTTTGTGAAATCAAGGGCAGTCGGCTCCCGCTTCCTAGATTTAGGATGAGGAGTCGCCTCTCGCCCTTGAACTGGCTTCCTCTTCTGTGAAGTGGAGGGTTTCTTAGCCGACTGCTCCTTGTCCAGAGCAGGCGGCTTCTTGTTGATCAACTCTTGAATTTCTCCCTTGAAGTCCCTCATGAAGGTCATGAGTTCGTTCCTTGTGATGGGAGCAGACCCGTCAGTCGGCTGTTGCCGAACAGGCGGTGCGCCTGCTGGCTCGCTTCCAGTTTGAAGATGTTCCCGTTCCCTCCTTTCGGTATGACGGGTACGTCGGGCCCTTAGGGTCCCGTCTGAAGCTGTGTGAGCTTCAACTTCAAATTCATTCTCAGTATCGTGGTCCGACTGAACTTGAGGGTCGTCTAGGAGACGCCTCTCTTCAGGAGTCGGTACAAACGTGGATGCCATCTCAGAAGTACTCTCCCCACAGACGGCGCCAAATGTTTCGGGGTTTTCTGATGTCCTGCGGGAGAGTTACAATTCCGAGACTGGAACCGGACGCCTGTACCTGCAAAACAACGGAGACTCCTGGTGGTGGGAGCTCCGCCTCCAACGGTCAAGTTAGTACTTGATTAAGGAGTAATTAATGCGGAAATTAAAGTGATTGGGTCTCTCTAGGTGAGAGTGTTTAATGTAGGTAATCTGCTTTTTTAGCGTGATCAGCCTGTTATCCCCCTTAATGAGGATTAAGGGAGGTATTTATAACCTCGGAAAACGTGCCAATCTAGGTTTAGGTTAACCTTGAGCTGATTGGGCTTCCCTCGGAAGTTGGGCCTAGGTGACCGGTTATCCCATGTGTTATGGGAAGGACACGTGTCGTGTCGTAATTGGTCCAAGGTGGACTGATCATTGCTTGACACGTGGCAGGCTCCTATTGGCCCATGTGAGGACACATGGCGGAACCTGATTGGTCCACTTGTCAGATGGTGACTGGTGGGGAAAAATCCCCTAATCAACTAGTTTTATTTAGCTTTTTGTAATCTGTCTTGTATTAGTTTGTGTAACATTTTTTTGTCAACAAGTTTACTTACATGAATGTATGATATAACTACGCTTATAATAGATTATCATTTAGAGAAATTTTTATTATTGGCAACACTTCTGTAAATGAATCCTAAAATGATAACAAAATCATAAACCAGAAAGAAGAAATTGGTCTAACACCCTCCAAAGTAACTCCTATATATGACTAGAGTGTGCACAAAACTCGCTTCATTTCGATAACAAGATACTCTCAAGTCACTGATGAGTTGTAAATACAGAAAGACGTAAAATCACTGTAAGCCAACCAATATTGATGGAGTTATCTATAAGTTCTAGCAAAAGCGGTAAGACTGGTTGACAAACCATATTTTACTTAAAAAAAAAAAAAAAAAACCCGAGATTCCAACAGACTCATAAGATCTAAAGAATGGAAATAGGCAAGGAGTCAGACCTTCAGGTGTTACAAAGCTTCAAGCAGGCTGTAAAAAGATGCTGCTGTAAGTTACTAGTGCTTTGTTCTTCTTGATGCTATCTCCGATGCCCATGCTTTGCCGATATCAGTTTGGAATTTCCCTGAAAACAGGTTCATTTTCACAATCAAACTGCAAGTTACAGCCAAGGATTGAAGCAAAATTAACAAAATGAAAAATCAAGAGCCTGTGATCTCTTCCTGAGAATTAATGAGTCGGGTACAAATGTCATTGAGGAAATTCGAACTCCTTATTCTTAATACGTCTAAGAAAAAAGAAAAAAAAAAAAAAAAAGTGTATTTCCTACATTTTCACCATGCTTTTGATCTATATTGGTCTGCCACCAGGCCCACCACCACATAAAAAACACGAAGGATTGGAGGGAGGGGGGATAAAAAAAAATTAACTACACCCGGGTGCAAGATGCACCAAGGTTATTTTTTGTTTATTTGATGATTAAATAAGCAATAAAGATCTTTAATTTAATCATCAGTGTTTGAAAAAGCGCGCTGAGACGCAAGGCGTTAGAGGTCATGCGCTTTTTATGGTCTAGGCGAGGCGACTTCAATGAGGCGCAGCTCAGGGGCGCCTCGGCGCAGCCTGAGGCGCAACAAGAGCTTTTTTCAGAATTTTTTTATTTCTTATTATATGCGCCTCACTTCAATGAGGCGCACCAAGGCGCTCGCAAGGTACTCCAAAACGCCTTGGTGCACCTTGAGCCTTTTTATACATTGTTAATCATCAAAATAAGCCAAAAATACCTTGGGTGCACCATGCACCCGGTGTATACAACAACCTTTGGGGTGGGATGCAAGCCTTACTTGATGGGTTTGGCATAATCTAAAGAAGGTTATCTCATTGAAGAAATCTTAACAGCCCATTAGGTACAAAGACATAAGTTCACTTAAGTGAGGAGTTTGTGTAATTGTTTTTCTCAGTTAACTTCCTCTACCTAGTAATAAACAAGAACAATAAAAGATAAATGAAAAAGAATGATTCATTAGAGCAGATGTATTACTATGGCCACTCATGCATCGTTTTATTACCTTAACTGATACCCTATACTAAACATGCTGCTAACTTACTAATACAAATATCGTTGTACATCCTAGTGCTTTGATGTTAAACAAAGCAAATTGTTTTTGCCCACAGTGAAGGTGGAATTTAATTCTTTTCTTATTTACACAATACAGTACAGTATTCCAATGGGACAGATGTATACTGTAGGCCAACATATCTAAGTGTAGTGTGAAAGTCCATATTTCAATAAACAAAAAAACAGCTACATTGGTAAATATGAACAAAGAGGTTGAAATCAATTAGAAATGCCTACCAGCAGTGGACTCAAAAAACTCCTCCAAATCCTTCCCTTGTTCTGTGCAAGTACAAAAAAGAAGTTGAACATTAATTTCCATCTCAATACAACAGTCTCCAACTAGCTAAAAAGTCTTCAAGCAGTTCAACGGGTATTGCATCTCAAAGAAGAGTAAAGAATCGAATTAACGGTCAGCAATTCCAACATCCTTAAACGATAGGGGAAAAAACTATTTAGCACCATTTCACTTTAGCTAAATGATAGAGGACTTTTCCAATAGTTATCACCACTTATGTTGACAGCATTACCTTTTTCATACTCCAATGCCTGAAGTATCATCTCAACCTGAAGGAAAAACAAAAAAGTACTTTAGACTGACAACAAGACACTAAGCAACAATCTTATATGAGAACTTGGTTTTACTAGATAACATATAATTTATAGTACGGTGTATCCAAATCAATTTCACAATCTACCAATGTTCAAACTCAACAATTAGGTTGCACTGCTGTGATAAATTTGATAACCACATAACTTGAAAACAACACATTTTTGTGATGCATGATGTTCACATAATGCAATCCTTGGAGAATATATTAGAAGCAATAATTCAACAATGACATTTACAAAGAAGGAAAAAGGAACATTCACATATTCCCATGATTGTCCAGGGGAGATGCGAGTAAGTTGAAGCAAAAAGTGATACTATAGCCTACTTACATCATATACATAAGTCTGAAACTTGCCACTTTGCGCAATCATATGATTATTGATTTGGCTATAACTCGCGTAATATAAGTCTAGTATGTACAACAAGAAGCCATGGCATAATGCATCTACTACCAAAAAGTGAATATTCAAGAGTTCAATGCAATAGCTGAGAAAAGAAAACAGCAACAATATATTATGATCTTAAAGAACATAGAATAATGTAAATTGCTAAAAATAAAAGTGCAGAAGTTAACATACTTTGTCGAAGTCCTTAACGATTTTTGCTTCAAGTGATGAGCTTTCTTCATACTCCATCCATAAATCATGTATCTCTTTGGCTGCAATTTATAAATATTACTCAGAGAACATAATACAATCAAGAAACACGGCAACTTAGAAATTCACCAGGGGAACTAAATGGAAGGGGTTGATAAGTCTTTTTCAATTTCCTTTTTTCCACTGAAAGCCTTCCTCCCTCCCCTCTCTTTCATAAGAAATAGAGTACACAATGAGCCATCTAGAGAGTAAGGCGCAGAAAAAGAAAAAAAGAAAAAGAAAAAAAAAACCTCTTGATCCTCCACCAAGGAGATTGCACATTTGGTCAAGTGCTTCCCTTTCTCTCCGGCTCTTTTCTGTCTTGGAAATCCCGTCACAAGGAGTAATATCACCTACAATTGCTGCAAGGGGAGAGAGAACAAAGAGAAATGTGACAAACTTAAAGGGAAACAAAAAGAAATCATATAGAGTTTAAAAGGACAGCAATAAAAGTTTTGACTATTGTCATTAATAATCATTTATCATGTTAAACTTAAAGCAGTATCACCAAAACAAATAACACCTTTGTCTATCCTGTACCATGAAACTTTTACTCCAAGAGGTGAAACTGTAGCTCTTTTAAGAGTTTAAGGTAATGAATAGAACTTATTTTTGCAGCTGAAAGGCCACTTATCACAGAAACCCAGACAACACCTTGCATATCTCCTTCCATTTCAAAACAGATGTTATTCCCAATTTAGGGGCCAATTATACTATAAGCTTTGCCATGTCACTAAGAAGCCACATGATCCTCTCGTCAAAAACATAAAGATAACAAATAAATAAATAAAACAGAAAAAGAAGATAAGGAAAGACATTTTCTTGAAATTATGATTGAAAAATGGAAGCCTTTAGTGCTATTAATTTAGAGCTATGATACGAAAGGAGTAAACTGAAGCATGTTTTATGTCTAGTTAATTAATAGGACATTGATGGGTTTTCTTTTATATAAAAAAAAGGACACAGAATTCAGAAACCAAGGTAGAGCACATTGATTAAAAGTAGTGTCCTAGAAAATCAGAGTCAGTTATACTATGTATATGTTAGCAAATTTGAAGGTTTATGAAATATGCCCAAGTACTTATACTTGATGCAGTAAAAGGTGGAAATAGGAGCTCAGGTAGGCCTGAGCATATTATTCATCAAAGTCCTCAAAGATATTGCATGAAAATTCCAGTACTGGTACCATCAAAGCTTAGAGTTATTCTCTTGCTTTGGAAGGAACCTTTGTAGGGAAAATATGAAGATTTAGGCAATAGTATATCCCTTAATAACGAAAAAAAAAAAAAGTGATGAAACTTTACATTGCTCACTCAGAGGGCAGTCTTGACAGTACAAGTTCGATTGTAACCTTGAACCTTGAATTAAGAGCTCTAATTTAGAGCTAATGTTGAGATGCACAAGTACACAGAGTATCTTTACCTCAGTGAGAAGCGTCTCAATGAACAAAATTTGACAAGCTAACAAAACACTCATTGCCTATCAACCAACAACCCTAACAAAGAGTGAGGGATAGCTCAAGTGGTTAGAGCTTCCCTCCCGATTTTAGGAGGTCCTTTCCCACTCTACTTTTCAGCAAAATTTTCATTGCACTAGTATCCCCACTCTCTAAAAGTAAGAATCTGTCTTTAAAAGGAATACATTTTTTCATGGCCCCAAGTAGGTTTTACAATTCCCTTTTCTTTTTTCAACTATTTATGCCAATGCCAATGCCAATGCTAGTTGCATAACTATGGCCAGATATCTCTTATTTTACATGTCCACAAGACCACAAAAGACCTTTTAAGTGATTGACTAACTATTTTACTAACCAGCATAATGCTAATGCCGGTGTTAATTCACCTCATTTTAATATGCCTTCAAAAGCTCGGACAATTATAAAATCTCAATTCACACTCTCATGAATTTAGTCCTAGTTCTTTTGATTCTATTCCTACCCCACATTCCAATTCTAATCAACCTCCATCACAACTACTGTTCAAGTACAATTATTCTAAATTACAAAACAAGTAGAAGAATACAAAAGTTGTCTTTCAACTTAGCAATTCCAAAACTACAACGAATAATTATTCAACAAACTCATTTGAATTGTAAAATTAAATCAAAATCTTCATACCTTCAGCCATATCATGGACAATAGCCATCTTCACACACCTTACAAAAAACCCCACAAAAAAATTTAAGAAATCTTATACTAACACTACTTTTGCTAATATTAACAATCAAATAAATAGCCAAAATAAAACATACTTATCACGATTAACACCAGGAATATCAGCAGAAATGAGAGCCATTAACCCCATACGATACATATGGTCAGAAATTGATTCTGGGTTTTGAACCTCTCTCTTCACCCACCCTGCCCTTTTCGTTGTCTGCCATAAAAACCACAAATTCATCCAAAATAAGAAAAACCCAAAAAAAATTACTAAAATTCAAAGTTAAAGCACGATGAAATTGTACCTTGAGACGATGGCATAGTGTGAGAAAGTCGATAGCAGAAGAAGGAGAAACAGAAGCATTATCTGGGTTGTTATTGTTGTTGGAAGAGGAGGAAGCCATGCGAAGAAGCTTGGGAGTTGATGAAAAGGAGGTGAATTTGTTGAGAGAGGATAGGAAGGAGGGAAATGTAGTCAGTGAACTTCTGCTTACACTCCACATTTTTTCCCCTTCTTGGCTTGGGTTTCTTTTTTGGGGCCCTTTCCCCTTCTTTTCCGGGGGAGTGATACAAGGTTTAAGTGCATATAACATTATAATAGGGTGTGAATTAGGTCGTTCGAGTCGGATTATGTTCAATTATAAGGTCGAAATAAACGAATTGAATCGTTTAACTCAAATTAAGTTCAATTATGGAGTGTGAATTAGATTGTTCAAATCGGATTACGTTCAATTACAAGACATGTTGTTTGGCTCAGATTATGTTTAACTACGGGTGTGTGAATTATGTCATTTGGGTCAGATTACGTTCAACTACGGGTGTGTGAATTATGTCGTTTAGGTCGGATTATGTTAAACTGCGAGGTGGGTTTTAAGTTGTTTCGGGTTGAATTATGTTCAAGTTGGTTTTGTATTCGAAAACAGGTCGCATTGAGTTTGTTTATGGTTTTTTTTTGTTGTTGTTGATCACGAAGGGCAAGCCCCAAAAGGCGCATTGAGTTTGTTTCCAATGTGCTTATTACGATAAACAATGCGCACATTTGTGTTTGATGCTAAAATGGTTATTATAGTAAATTTGATTGAAAATTGTTATGTCAAGTCAAGTGATTTTTGGTGGAATTTGAGTTTTAGTCATGTCTTAATGGTCTAAAATGAAGTATCGCCGAATAGCATATCATTAATCTTATATTGGTCCTTTAATTTAAAAATTGTGTAATTTTTTTTTGGTGTTTAGAGAGCGCATCATAAGAACGGGGGTGAGAATCGATCCCATTACCTCCTTAAATCAGGTGGGAAGCTCTAACCACTTAAGTTATTCCTCACTCTAAAAAATTGTGTAATATTGACAATAGACTAGTTAAATGGGAATTAAAGTTGCCTTATATTAAAAATGTGAGTGAATAAACTCAATATCCGGCCTCCTCAGTTATATTTAATGACATGTGTTTTATGAAAACAAAGGATGGTTGTTTGAAGATGATAGTGTGGCGCAAACAGAAGGATGATGAAGAAGATGGTGGTTCTCATAATGTAGTAGTGCTAGTCTTTCTAAGTAAATTGATGATAATAAGTACTAGTAACTTGCTTTAACCGTGTAGTACCTAGGGTTTATTAAAAAAATTAGGGAAAAGAAAAAAAAAATAGGCCACTAGGGGGAATCTAGGAGGGAGGTAGATAGGAAGTCAGTTACACAGTCAAAGCAATTACAACAAATTTGGGCCTTTACATGTATTTCTTGAACTATCTAATACACTAATACCCATCCTATTCAACTAATATTTTTTTTGGGCCCATGATGGCCCCCCATGAAGGTCCGCCTCTGCAGGTGATGAGAATCGATCACTAGATCATCTGGAACCAGAATGGAAGCTCTTACCACTTGAGCTATCTCTCACTCTCATTAAGAATGTAATACGTAGGAATATCATAAATCAGTTTGACTTAAGACAACCCTACCAAATCTAAAATGATCCAATTCTTTACAAAAATAAATAAATAAAATTGATCTAAGACGATTTAAATTTGAATTCTACTATACACTTACACCAACCTAATATGACACAAGTTTAATACTACCTCAGTTTATTTCTCCATGCGCTCATTTCTCTATACGCGGAATTTTAGGACAAATTGGATAAAATAATAAAATACAGAGGTAGTGGGGTATGTGAAAGAATAAAAAAATTGTAAACAACAAAAGTAGTGGAGAATTAGAGTATAAAATTAATAATATGATTTATAGAGAAATAAATTAAATATTATAAAAACTTTCGAAATAAAGCAAGTATTTAAAAAAACAAGGAGTATATAAGAAAAAATTGAATCCGAGTCCGACTTGCACAACCAATTTGACAGCTCTATTCCGACGATAACAGACTTGAGTGCTTAACAAGAATCACATGTTATAAGAGAAAAGGAGCACGAGATCACACGCTCTAACAGTCTCGCACACAATTAAAACACCCGCCTACTTTTCATATTCCTACGCCGTCGAAATTCATTTTCTGGAATTAACATTAAATTCAACTCTCCAAACTTCATCACATTTCACCAGAATTTCTTCAACGAAGAACCCTAATTCTTCATTTCCCCCAAATTCAACCTCATAATCTCAGCATTCTTGAACAATTTCTGCTAGTTCTCTCTCCTCCTCTGCCATGGCTGCATTTCGTAGGCTTCTTCCTTCCCGCTCATTTGGTGTCTTTGCTCGGACTTGCAGTTCTTGGACTTCTTCTGCTTCTTCTACTGAAGGTACTTAATTGAGTTGATTCATTATAAATTTGGACTTTCCTTGCGTTTGAATTTGGTTATAATTTGAGCATTTTGATAATTTTTGATGCAATGATGTTCAATCTTGTAGGAATTGAAGGGAGTTTGCGGCATTTCAGTGACCAGAAAGTGTTGAGAATCAAAGACGGGGTAGTGGAGGATGAAGTTGAGAGAATTCGGAGTGATTTAGAGATTGCCAAGCAGTGTTTCCTTACAATTCCACAGACTCTTAAGTCTATGCCTAAGATGAATCCTGAGGGTATAATTCTACCTCCATTTCAGATTAATCATTCACTTGAAAAATCTTGTAATCTTGTATAGTTTGCAACTTTATCTTGTTAAATTTCAGTTTAGAATTGCTATGCAATAAATGTATGCATAATCTTGAATTGGAGGGTGTGATAAATGCACTTTGTTTCAGATTGGATAGTTTAATCAACATAAACAATGTAAAAGACTCTTTACATTGATATTGTTGAAATGCATTTGATTTGGATTGGATACTTGAATCAACTCTATGTTGGGATTGCTCTTCCAGGGATATATGTGAACAAGAACTTGCGATTGGACAACGTTCAAGTTTATGGGTTTGACTATGATTACACATTAGCACATTACTCTGCTCATCTACAAGCTTTGATTTATGACCTTGCCAAGGAGCATTTAGTCAATGAGGTTCAATGTTTTTCTTGAAATTTGAACCAGTTGTTTAAGCCATTGGCTTCTGTTTCTTTGTTATATCTTACATAGTCTACTCTGATGGTTGCAGCTTAGGTATCCAGAAAGTTGCTTGAAGTTCAAATATGACCATAGCTTCCCTATTAGAGGTTTGTACTATGACAAGTTAAAAGGGTGTCTCTTGAAGTTGGATTTTTTCGGATCAATTGAGCCTGATGGATGCTTCTTTGGTCGTCGTAAGGTGGGTTGTGACCTCTTATGATTATTGCTTCTATGCATTGTCTCATTTATTTTAATAGTAGTGTTTTCCTTGAAATTAGATTTTGGAGGTTTACATTGTACTAATAATGAGTATGTTATAAGTTAGTTGTATTTTAGTGTAATCTTGCTACCCCTAATTGAATGGAATAGCAGAATCCTCTATTTAGGATTAGAAAACGAATAACTCTTAACACCGCCATTTGGAATATTGTCACAAATGGGATGGACTGTTGTGTAATAGTACATTCCTCTATCCTGTTGCACAGAATCAGCACTCCAAAGGATTGGTAGTGACAAGATTCTCATGTACTTTGTTGGGAATTATGTAGGAGCTCTCACTTTTCTAATCATGAAGTAGGGGGTTCGTGTTCTTTGTTGGCCAATCTCATAGCCTCTGACTACCCTTATTAATGTTTGTGCACATGAGATATGGGCTGTTATTATCGTCTTGCCACAAGGATTCTTCTTGTGTAGATGAGCTTTTGGGTAATCATTGGCGTATTCCCTGAGCATTGCCCTCTTGCCAACTTGCTGTTTTGTTGATGGAAAAGTTTATAATTGCTTATATATGCATTTGAGACCCCACCCCCTTCATTATATTTAACTTTATTTTCATTTTATTGTTAAATTCTTCTATCTCTTGCTAGTTGCTACCCCTCTTAAAGCTCAGTAGCTCACCCATCCAGAAGTGGAAAAGATAAAATACAAAGCAGTTTTGCAATATGATATAAAAAAATATTAATTGCAAGGATTTTGCATAAAGAAGCTCATTTTCTGTGATGTGCATACCTTGTGTCTTAGTTGTCCCTTGCACTTTTGTAAACCAAGCTTTTATATAAACTGTACACTGATATTTATAAAAAGTGATGTAATTCGTGGAATAGTTAATGTCATTGGAACACTATCAAAATGCTTTATGATTAAAGGTGTACCATCCAAGCTGAACTTAAGCACCATGTTGAACCATCAATGAGCAAATAATAAGGTGGAGAAAAAGAAAGTTTGGCTCTTAGATGACAATGGTAATGCAGTTTTAAAGGATGCTTAAATGCTTCATTTTACCATTGTGGTAACTTTACACTGCATTTTGCAGCTACAAGAAATATAAAGCAAGGTATTAAATAGCCCAAGGTGCACTTAGGTGATGAGGGGCCTGCTGCCAGCCTCATTGAAGTATGGTGCTCTTAATAAATATCAGAAAATTTTAGAGTTAACTTTCAAGTTTATGCGCCTCACCTAGCTCAAAGGAGTTCTGTATTTGATCCAAAGCTTATTATACTGTTCATATTTGATAGGAAAACTGGACATTTGTGTCTGAGAATCACATGTTTTTTCTCAATCACCCTAGAATTGGACTTTATTGTGTCTCCTAGGAATGATTTCATTGTGTAGCATACTCTATCTTAATTGATGCAAATAAATTGGTCTATAATGAGGAATATCTGATTCCTGCTGATGTTTTCCATTTGTATGTACAGCTAAGGCGGGAGGAGATAATAGAGATGTATGGAACAAGACATATTGGTCGCCATCAAGCCCGGGGGCTTGTTAGTTTGATGGATTTTTTCTGCTTTAGTGAGGTAAGGCCCTTTTTCATCACATCTTTCTAATAATTGCATGCTGTTATCCTGCCTTGCTTTAGCAATCACATTATTAGTCTGTTTGTATTTATAGATTCACATTATGCCAACATAGGTAGTAAGTAGTGGGGTTGTACAATGTATTTATTTTATAATATGTTTTACCTTTCCAATGTTTGTATAGAGAAAAATCAAGCTGTGAATCTAAAACCACCTTCTACCCTTTCCATCCTCACAATTTTTTTAGAACGAATAAAAATATATAGGAATAAAAGAGAGACAAGACTGAATGAGAATAATTGATGGTTTTGTATATTGTTAAACTCACAATAAGTGTGTGGAAATAAGACATGATTGTTGTTATTATGATTTCTTGTAACATTTATATTGCTTCAATAACAATCTTAATGGTCAAGCAGATAATTTTATTTCTGGCATCAACTGCATTCTTTTAACTTATATGCAGCCCCCCTTCCTCTCTCCCCCCCCCCCAAGACCTGGTTTGCTTGTCTAACTCCATTTGCTTGCTACATTGAAGGCATGCTTGATCGCTGACATCGTGCAACATTTTGTCGATGAAAAACTGGAGTTTGATGCTTCGTATGTCTATCATGATATCAATCATGCAATTCAGCATGTTCATAGAAGTGGAGTAGCTCATAAGGCAATCATTGCTGATCCTGAGAGATATCTTGTAAAAAATGTGGGTAATTATGCCGTTTCTTCACTATCACTAGTAATTCTGTGTTACTCCACTATCCATATGTCCCAAAAAAAGGTTTTAAGTTTATAGTCTATACATCCTCAAAATACAGTTAAAACTGTAATGGAATTTTAAACAAAAAATATATAGTATTGTTTTGAATTTTAAAGTGACTAGAGAAATGATTCATCATGTCCTCAATTCTTCCCAAATTTCAAAGTGTGTCAAGATGATGGTTAAATAACATTTGAAAAAGTTTATCACCTACAATTTGATAGTGTGATGCTTACTATATTTAAAAGCACTCAATAATTTTTTTTATATGGCTTGCATTGTTTAATGCTACAGGATCAGTTGTATTGCTTTTTGAAGATGCTAAGAGACAAAGGAAAGAAAATGTTCTTGCTGACTAATTCACCCTATTATTTTGTTGATGGCGGTTTGCGCTTTCTTTTGGAGGTAATTTTCACACTGTCAATTCTTCCCTTCATGCACATCTTGGTTCACTAACTTTACAAAAGTGTTAAAGACAGGCTTAAACTTTATGTAATGTGCTTTACAGAGTCTGTTTGTCATATCTGGAGTCATAGGATTGCTATTATCTTTAAAAATGAGCATAAGAGTCTGGATGTAATTGATCAGGAAGTTATGTTTCATGTTGCATGTAGATGCACCGATGCTATTAGGAGTCAGTTGAGGATGTAACAGCAGGGTTGTCTGCTTGTGTCTTTTGAGGCTTTTTTTGTTTGGAAGCTGAGATCTTTTGTAAGTAACTTTGTTACTGCGTTTCTTTCTTGGTTATTAATTCTATCAATTGCCAAAATATAACAAAATTTTACTAAGGTACTAAATTCAATAATACAAGCTGAGGGAAACACAAATAACGAATCCAGATATATTTCTATTGTGAAAACAATCATGGTATCTCTAATTTACAGTTATAAATTTATGGTAATAGATAATGATATATGTTTTACGACAAGTCGTCCTACAAGTATAAGCTTTAACATTTTCAATAGATTTCCTAGTCTCTTGGGTAATGCATTCCTGATTTCCCATTAGCTTCCATTCTTCTCTTTATTAAAAAGGACTGCCCAACATCAATTTGGAATTTATGTGCTCTTATAGAAAATTAAAGAACATACAAACATGCAATATTAATGTGTAGTTGGTATTCACCAGTTTAACACCTTTTGGCAGTATATACTACTTCCTCTAGACATTGTGTTAATACCTAGATTAGTAAACTCATACTTGTAAATCAATTCATCACCAAGTAATATATTTCTGTTTTCTAATTATTTAAAGACTAAAAAACTATTATTATCTGAGGAAAGAGGACCAACACCAACAGTGGGATGTTAAATTCTTAGTTGGGCGTTTGTTTTTTATGGTGTGCTGTGCGCCTTTTTGAAGACAAATTAGGCTCGGAGGCTATTTTCTGTGCATTGGAGAGACTTGGGTCTTCCCTTCTACAGTGTTAGATCTGCAATAGGCTTGTTTTGTTGGCTTTAGAGGTGCCAAGGAAAAGATGTGGTGGAATTGTTTTATGACTATTATGTGGTGTTTTTGTTAGAATGAAATGCAAGCATTTTCTGTGGAGCTGCTATATTAACTGATTTGTTGTGGGTTTGATACTTTGACATGATTGCCAAGAATGTATTGGGATAAGAAACAACTGAGTTAAGAAATATAACTATTTGTTAGGATTTATTTTCAAAATACGTAGTATTATTTATACTCTAATCTCCTGCTTTATTTTTGAGGATCCTTATAATTGTTTTGCACTTGTTCTTCACATTTGTTTTGTCATTTCAATAAATTATATCTTATTTGTGAAGATTCATGAAGTTCAAAAATTGTAATGTTCTTTTAATGTGTTGATCAGGATTCCCTGGGCTGTGGTGACTCTTGGAGAGATCTATTTGATGTAGTCATTGCTAAAGCCAATAAGCCAGACTTTTATACGTCAGAGCGACCATTCCGGTTAAGATCTTATGCTCTTCTAATTATTTATTAATATGTAGATCTTAACCAGTATCACATTATTTATCTATATGTGGTTTGTTCTGGTGCATGCCATGGATATGGGAAGTTAAGTTGCTATCTACTTCATAGTTTGTTTTACTATTTGACAAGTTCACAATTTTTTTTTTGTTTTTTGGGCAAAGGGGGGGGGGGGAGCTTGGAAAGTAATTAGCAAGTTTGTTGAATCCCTGTTAGAAGAAATAACCTCTTCCCCTTTAATTGTAAATGGCTTTCACACTTCATACGAGTTTGGACGAGTCTGAAGACTCTGAACGACCTATAAATAATGTGGATTACATAGGTTTATAGCTTCCAATTCCCTTAAATGTTGTGCTTTAAGGTATTGAATAATATGTCAACTGTTGAGGAAGTATGGTGTGTTGGAATTCGGAAAAAAAAGGGGGAATGAGAATCAAACCCTGTTGTATATGTATATATGCGTGCATTGATGCCATTCATGCCAATGTCTGTTTATATGGGTATAAATGTATGTCTCACTTTGCATGTGTTTGTGTGAGTCTGTGCCTACTATATGCTTCTGATTTGTTTGTGACAAAATACCGCACATGAGTAGTATAACCCGTAAAGTGGCACCCCCAATCCAAGTTAAATACGTAGTATTATTAAATATACTGTATTTGATTAAAGGATAATTAAGATGGTAGCACTTATTATTCTTTTTTGTTGGTCTTAAGTTCACAACACCCAATAATAAACATCTCTGGTGTCGTTAAAAATGCTTACAATTGATGGATGATGTGACATTTTTCTAGTGCATGAGAAGGGTGCTGCTTGGCACATGTACTTTCTTAGATCTACTCTTTAATATAGATTAATATATACGAAGTATATTTTGACATAATTATGAAATATACTTCTATTTCTGTAATGTAGACCCATTACTTATTATGTCTTAAGAGAGAGATGGCAAAAGCAATTATGTACAACAGTATTAGTGGAAATGTAAAGCAAGGAGAGGGAAGGCAAAAACTACTGGGTAAATCAACAGTATAAGGGTAAAAGTTACCCAAACAGAAAATGTGTCAACTAAAAGAAACTTCCCAAATATGAATATTTCCGTTGTTCTTTTTACTTGTGCCATTTAGAGTTTTAAGCTTATCACTACTTAAATTGTCGTGAATATCTTTAATTATCTTATAGTAAAGTTATTAAAAGTTGATGTATTGAAAGCATATATCTAGACGAATCTAACAAGATCCTACATGACTATATTTTTCTTTATGCTCACAACATATGGTCAAAGGAGTGTGTGAATGGTATAAAAGTGCAAGTGGTGCAAGTATCAATGAATTGAAGAAGTACATGTCAATTAATTAGAAGCAAATTTAGTAAGTATATACAAAGTATTTAAAAGTTAAAACTTTGGACTTAACTGGACATATGGAGTCCAAGAGGTCAACTCCAAAACTATATACCATGATGAGAACATTTGTACTAGTTACTTTCTCGAATTCATGCATTTTTATTTCATTGACTGCAAAGTACTGATTTTGATCTTTCTGTGGCACAGATGCTATGACACGAGCAAGGATACGTTGGCATTCTCTAAGGTGGATGCTTTTCTTCCCAATAAAATATATTACCATGGATGTCTGAAATCCTTTCTCAAAATTACAAAGTGGCACGGGCCAGAGGTATGTCAAAATTTGCTTTATCTTACTGAAAGGCTCCTTTATAGCATTAGGTTTCTTCTACTGATTCTGCTTGCTGGAGCTTAATTGTATTGAAAATGTGCTATCTTTACTTCACTGAAACTGCAAGCTTTTAGTATTATTCTAGCTGTCACGCGTCATCTTTTGGTCCTTTCTTTAAATATCTACATTTTGTAGGTCATATACTTTGGTGACCATTTGTTTAGCGATCTTAGAGGGCCTTCAAAGGCAGGGTGGCGTACTGCTGCTATCATTCATGAATTGGAAGTAAGTTTTTTGTTAATTTTTGTAACAATTCTTTTTGTCTTATCAATTAATTGTTTTGGAATGTATGCAATTTTCTTCATTTATTGCATTGCCTCTTTTAATATACTAATCCTGAAATCCTGAAACTGATATTACTATCATGTTCCCTGGATCATAATTTCTTTGTTAAATGTTTTGAATTTATATCTTTGCCACACCTGTTTTGAATTTTGATGAGGTTTTGTGGGAAAGAAGCAGAAGTATTTATGAGCAAAATGTCCGGCACAGCCATTTAAATTACTAGATTAAGGGTGACATCATTATATCTTTTATCTGATGAACAAGATTAAAAACTTAATAGAAAGAAGTGCATACTGTGTCAGTAGGTGAAATCTGAAGTTTCAATATGAGATAAGGTTGATATCTTTCTGTGCAATAATGATGATTAAGACTTGGATTTCTGATGTTGACATTGCAAAGACTTTATGGGGTTCTAGTAGCCTACAGTCTAGTGTCAACTTTGATGTTCTCATTTTGAGCAGAACAAGTAATATATACCTCTACTAAAACTCCTATTTTCTAAACATAATATCCTAATCAATAAGGAAACTTCATGCTCTGTGCTGTCAATGACTTTGCCGCATTTACATGTTAGTTAATCACTTTGCCAAGCTCCCATCAAGGCTTTCAATTAATGTCAAGATACTACTTGACACACTCGTGTGGTTAACTTGGGTTTTAACCTAATATCACTAACTAAAATGTCTTGAGAATTTGGAATCCTAAAACCCAATAATGGAAAACATAAATTGATACCTCTACACCACTGGTTTAAAGTATTAATCTCAAAACAACTCCTTGCTTCTAAAATTGTTGAACGTTTTATGAAGTATTTCTATTCAATCTTGATACACATCTTATCATCTACATACCATTGGATATTATCACCATCATCAAAAAATTTGAGCAGTGCTCTACATGCAAACTTCTCACTAGCTACTCTAAAACAATAACATTGACCTGGCCATTGTTATCATTTATTTTTTATTTTTTTTGTAGATTGTGTGTGGTTTTTTTTTTTTTTTTTTTTTTTTTGTGTGTGTGTGTGTGTGTGTGTGAATATCTTTTCATAAAGGTGCACAGCTGGCCAACTCTCTTTGTATTTTGTTATTTTTTGGAATTTACAAATAATTACTGGGCTTACTTTTTGGATAAATGTGCTTTAAAGATTTGTTGTTGGTGATAACATGTATAGATGATGAGATGTGCGTCACAACTAAAAATAGATCTTAAATTTTTTCTACAAATTTTGAAGCAAGGGAGTGTAGCACGGTGTGTCAGTATTAATGCTTCAAATCAGTGTCTTCTTAATGCATTAATGGGTCTAAGGATTCCAAATTGTCAAGATAATTTAAGCACTGGGTGGATGTATATAGCCACTTTCTGATCATGGGATTAGTGTTCCTATAATCATAGTCCTGGAATAAATTTCAGCCATTGATGCTTGTATAGTTTTTTCAGTTCACAAGCTCCTTTATAACGGTTTGATTTGATTTTTGCAGAATGAAATACGTATCCAGAATGAGGAATCTTATCGTTTTGAGCAGGTACCCTTTGAGATCTTTGTGATGTTCTTATTTGTCACCTCCACCGCCCAATTCATTTGTGGTCAATATTTTACAATCACTGATGGTAGTTGTAACTTGATGTAATCTCACATATTGCTGACCATATCTCAGTAAGTATCTTAACAAACAATGCTATCTGATAAGCTGATTAACAGGGATATCCTATGACTGGAATTTCACAAGTTTACAGTTTTTGTTACATGTACAAATGATGATTAGATCATGTAATTTGCCAACCAATGATGAAGCAAAGAAAATGAGATCAAAAGCAGATTTCACATAAACCTTGCAAAGTTTTAGACTGATCCAATTTATGCTTTTTGTTGTAAAAAATTAATGAATCTGCTGCATACAATAGGATTTACTTTAGAATGTATGCTATTTTAAATTTTCATTTGAATTTGTGACACTGTACTATTAAAACCATGCGATAACTGATGGTTGCTCCCATTTGATTGGGGTAATAATAAAGACTTGTTATAATACACATAAAATAAGAGTAGTTTCTAGATGTGATAGTTTAACCACATATTTCAGTTGTACACTCATCTTTGCCAATATTATTGGACTATATTAATGCTTGTGCTAGATTCTGTTTACAAAATGTGTTAAGTCCCTTGATTTCTTTTTATTCATATGCTATGGGTCTTCTAAAGATTTATCTCTCTTTTGGCACAGGCGAGATTTCACATTATCCAAGAGCTCCTAGGTAGATTGCATGCAACTGTTGTAGATTCACAAAAAAGTGAAACATACAGGTCACTCATGAAAGAGCTCAATGAGGAGAGGCAAACAGCACGCTGCACCATGAAAAACATGTTCAACAAGGCTTTTGGGGCCACTTTCCTCACTGATACTGGTCAAGAATCCTCCTTTGCCTATCACATCCATCAGTATGCAGATGTTTACACCAGTAAGCCAGAAAATTTCCTGTTCTATCCACCTGAAGCATGGCTTCATGTGCCTTTTGATGTCAAGATCATGCCACATCATGTGAAGGTATGTTGATGTTTTCCAGTGAATTTTGAGTTTATGTGAAGTCAACCTCTATGCTTTTCCATTATTTGCCTGGCATATTTATTTGGGCAGAGGGGGTAGGATGAGGAGGGAGTAGGAGGGGGGGTTTTCCGTCCAAGACATTCTTTTATGACATTTGAAGTTGAAACAACTAAAGATATGTTGCTGGGTTATTTATCTCTACCTATTTTCTTTCTCCCACTCCACTTCTGCATGGGCTGCCTTTTTGGCTTTTTATTGTTGTATGATGATGATAAGCTTGAACAGGAATGGACTGATAGCTCAGTTCGTACTAATGAACCTTGAAGTGATTAATTTAACTCTGGAAATTTCTGTTGGGAAGGACTTTGGAAGAAAATGGAGAGACCCATTATTAGAAAAAACGAAAAGGAGGAGAGGGGGAGGGTGGATTAAAAATGGTTGAGCTTGGTTCTTAATGGGACTTATATCAATAATAGCTTGTTGTTAAAATTAATTACTCAGTTCTTTAATATACTCATATTAATCTTATTAATCTTTGATTTCTTTGTGCAGTAACTTATATCTTATTTTTAATGTTGTTCAGGTTCCTTCAAGCTTGTTCAAGACATAGGAGACATTCGTTTTAATCATTTAGGATTGTTATAATTTTGGACTCAAATTTTGATCCTGTGAGTAAAGTCTGCGTGCTCACTGCAAATGATTTTTTTTGCTTATACAAAATACAGTTTAGGCAAATGTTGTAAAGTTTGAAATACAGTTTAGGCAAATGTTGTAAAGTTCGTAAATACAGTTTTTGCTTATTCCATAACATGTAGATTATGGAAAATCTTATACACAACCCAAGGTTGATAGATGAGAAAAAGAATATAGAAACAATAATCATTTGTAAACATCATTATTTTTTACCAATGTATTGCCTTTAACAATTTCTTTCCATGTAATACTCCATATGTTGGATAATGTTTATATTTCTCCAATGTATTTCGTGACATTTACTTTGCATGTTAGATAATAATATTTAGTGTTTGAATGCATCTTGTTCAACTTTGTCTTGGTTTGAGCCTAATTCACACATGTTTGATCATCTGCAATTCGCACTTTTCCATACCAACATATGTTGAGGCTGTTTTGTTCCTTGGCATGGGCTTCTTCCTTCTTGGCATTGCCAAAATCAATCAATTTTTGGGGATGGTAATATGTCTGATTCAGTGGGTACTGCAGTGGGTTTTGCTAAGCTTTGCGTGGATTATGGCGTGTACAATGAGGAGTTGAGGGTCTGCAGTCCAACACCAAGCAGTGGTATGTCAATTGTCAAGTGTGAGTTGGAAACCCCCTCCTGGCCCTGCAGTGAAAATTGACGTCGATGCTCATTTAATGGAGGATGTTGGTGTGAGCTATGGTGTGGTTATTAGGGATGCTGATGGGGGATTGTTAATGGCTGCTGTGAAGTGTCTTGATGTGCAACGGTCGCCAGATTTGGCTGAAGCAGGAGCTGCTGCATACGGCTTGCAGTTGGCGAGTAGATTTGGGTTCAACAAGGTGATATTAGAATGTGATGCCCTTAGTGTTGTGAATGCTGTCAACAACAATCACAAAGGGGCTGCTCCAATCTCTTCTATGATGATATTACTCGTTGAATTCTTTCCTTTACTTTTAAATGTTTACATGTGAAGCGGAGTGGGAATGTTGTTGCACATTTGAACTTTCCCCAAAGTTTAATAACTTTGGTGGAAATTGATTTAACATATTGACATCCTGTTTGCTTGTTTCCAAAAAAATAAAATAAAAATATTAAAAAAAAATTGCATTAGTCATATAACAAATTCTCAAATCCTAATTCCTAATCTACCATCCACATAGGAATTGTTTTATAGTGTTTGCTTTGCTTTGGTTTAGCTTAAAACTACTAATGGCATTAGTTTGAGAACTGCTAATGGCTTTAGAGGTTTAAAAAAAAAATCAAACTTTTATGACAACAATCCTCTTTCTCTCTCTAAGTAAATGACTAAACACATTTTAAAAAAACAAAGTTGCAATTTTTTTTGAAGAGGTGGGGTCGCGAGGAGAACGTGAGAATTTGTAAATATATAAGTAGATTTAAATATGTCGAGTCCCTAGATTAACAAACCCATATATTAGCAGTTTTGATAAAAACTGTTAATGATGGACTTGTTTGACATCATTGTTTTCAGTTTTTTGTTTTTTTTGAAAACTAAAAATCAAAGAAACAAAAAAAAAAAAAAAAAAAAAAAAAGGTGTTTCCACTTAATGGTTGTCAGTTTTCAAAATTATTACGTATGGTTTTGATAAATTTGACTAATTTTTATTTATTATGTGATATACCATATTATATGATTTTAAAAAACAAAAAAGTCTCTTAATCATCTTACGCGGGCTATATTATAAAGTTATAAACTATCCGCCTAAGATCCGGTCATTATGTTTTTATTTTTTATTTATTTATTTAATTTTTTTGTTTTGTTTTGTTTTGTTTTGTGTGTGTGTTTAGAGAGATTATTATTGTTAATTGCTTCCTTCCTACAGTGATTCAAATAATTTACATTTCTCTAAATCTCTCATACTCTTAGCATAACTGCGCAAGGGAAGCAGACAGAGGGCATAAAACTCCTCGAACCACCTGATTGCCGCCGACGAACCACCGTCACCGGATTACATACACTATACAGTACTCTGTATTGTTTCTTCTTCGTTACTTAATTTCTTTCACTTCAATTTATTTATACTGATTTTACAATTTTCTCACAAACCCAATTTGTTAACATTTCAGTTGATTTCGAGCTATTTACCTACTTATTCTATACAATTCGGTGGAATATCATCAAGGGTTTTTCAATTTGCAATCTTTTCAGAAATCATGGAACCCTCAAATGAAGAACAACCACCCATACTTGATCGTACTTCTCGAGCAACTCGAGGAAAAAGGTGGGATTTTTCCAGTAATTTTAGTAGCAGAAAACTTCAATTTGTGACTTAATTGTTTAATTTTCCTGGCTTTTTTTGAATTTTGAGGTAATGGGTGTTTTCTGTGTTTACCAGGATGACCAAATTGCTTGATGATGAACTTGAAGAAGATGAGGCTTTCTGGAATCAAGACGCGCTTTTGGAGGTAATCTTGTGTTATTTTGCTGAGAATGAACTTTTCTTTCATGCCCTTAGGGTGGTACCCAAGATCTCGGGTTGAATTCCGTTTACATTACTTGCCCTTTTATAGATTATAGTATTGTTGCATCAAGTTTTGAATTGGGTTCTCAAGATAATTAGTAATTACCTCTTTAGTATATCTCCCTCCTCTATTTTCATTAATTAAATGTGTATATTTAGCTGGGGAAGAGTTTTCATGACATGTCTTGCTAAGTAACTGTTGTTTTGTTGATGTAATGGTGGTTTATAATGTTGCTTTTATCATGTTTCAATGTGTATGACTTGGTTTTTCATTGTATTTGTGCTTTTGTGATTTCTCAGGAAGAGAATGATGGAGAATATGAAGCGGAACCGGAGATCACTGATGAGTTTGATAGTGACTTCGGTGAAGATGTGAGTGTCTAAACAGCTGCTATCTTGTTCTTTAAAAAAAAGTAGTTGCACCCTTTAGTTTCTGGTTGTTGTTTAAGTTTGTTCTTAAAATTTTATACACTGGTAAGTTTCTTGTTGTTCTTTAAGTTTGTAGTGCAGCATTGTGTGTTTTGGTTGTTTTCCGAAATGAGGTTTTGTGCTCTTGAGTACCTGAGCTAAAGATATTTACACTTGTTTTTTTTAGGAGCCTGAGCCTGATGATGGAGTACAGAATGAGGCAGAAGCAAGGTTTATATTGATTGTAAAAACTTGAGTAGTTGTTTGATTCTGACAATGAAATTGTAACGGAGGATCTGCTATTTTGCAGGGAGAAGAGGCCAAAGAAACGGCTAATATATACAGGAAAGCCACAAACAAAGAAGAAAAAGAAGAAGAAGGACCTTTCTAAATTGGAAGAATCTTTGAAGGAAGAAATGAATAAGGATGTTTCAGAAATAGTGGAGGTCCCTGATGAAGAAAAACATTCCGGACAACCTACCACCTCAGATCATCATGAGGAAGGTGATGAAGCTGAAGGAGAAAAATCTGTGAGGAAATCTACTAGAACTGCAGTTATTGTTAGGCAGGCTGAAAGAGAAGCTATACGTGCTGCATTACAGGCTACAATGAAGGTAAGTCTTTCCCCCCATTGACGTTTATATTGATACTGCATTGTAGCCTCCACAGTAATTTTTATTTTATTTAAGAAATTTCATAACTCTATGATTTTTTTAAGTTCATATATGCATACTTTTGTTCATGGATTTCCACCTTTAATAAAGCAGTAGTTTTTGGGTTTTGTTATTAGGATTTAGGAAGTGTGTTGGGATGGATGGGTGGGTTGTGACCTGTGAGGTAGAGATTTCTGCTTCATACTATTATTCTGTTGTCAAGAGCAAATCGTTGGATTATTTATCATATATTGTTGGTGATGAAGCTGTTTAGTGCCTTGGGTAGGAAGGAGGCCCAGATTATACTCTTAGGCTCTAAATTTTCTGTTTGCTAGGCATCTCTCTTGCTGTTGTTAGTCACCCTTCTTTCCAAAGCTTATATTTCCTCTATGTTTATTTACATGCAACACACATTTTGTCACATTTTAAGAAAGTCACTATTCACTGGTCCCGTGGTCCCACTTGACTTTAACTCATTAATCCTTTGAATTACCTAACCACTCTCATAAATTCATCCTGGTCAATTAAGAAAACCCACCATCAACTGCCATAATCACGTTTTCCACTTTCATAAAAGCCTCTACCGCCACCACACCCACTATTGTCGCCTCCTGATCCACCATCCTCTTCCACCATTAGTGCCATAAAGGACCTTTCAGTGCTTGTAGTAGATAAGAATCTTCCACTTGTAAGAAGAGGCATAAGACATGCACAGAATACAAGAAAATGTTTCTATTGCTATCAGCATGATATTTATTTGTTTATGTCAAAATGAATCATCAAAATTATATTACAAATAACTAAATTTTAAAAACTATATGCTCTATCTTGAATTACTCAGGTTCACATGTCTTTGTTCCAAGATATAAAAAAGTAATAACTTCACTGATTTGAAGCATTTGTTTCATTTGAAATAATTATCAGCCTGTAAAAAGGAAAAAAGAAGGCGAGGAGAAACGAATGTCTCAAGAAGAAATGCTCCTGGAAGCTGCCCAGACAGGTTTCATCTTTTGATTCTTTCTTAAATGAGGTTATGAATGGATTTAATAGTAGTAAAGGAGCTTGTGATTTTCACTTCTTTATCATTAATATATTGCAGAGATTATGAATTTGAGGCACTTGGAGCGTGTATTAGCAAGGGAGGAGGAAGTTAAGAAAAGAGCTATTGTGCATAAAGCTGTCTATACTGGCCCACAAATGCGATATTCATCCAAAAATGGCAAGTTTTTCTTCTCTTTTAGCTATGCTTACTGGGACCCTCATTTTATTATATGTGAGAGACAATGCTTTAGCTAAGATGTATGACCTTTTGAGAAGGGTTCAGGATCCCTTCTCAAAAGGGCCTTAAAATTAGACAATCAGAATTAAATGTATTAACTCTGCTTATATACTTTTATCTTGCAGGAAACACATTTATCGAATTCAGGAATGGACTATCATTTGACTCTCAGATCTCTACAAAACCAGTTCCTTGTAAGTTCCTGAGTATGCAAGGCCATTCTGATAAAATATGTACGGAGTATCTTGTAGGTGTTTAATTTCCATGTAGTAAATCTCTGAGTTTCGGTTAACCATGAGTATATAAAGGAGCACATGTTATACATTTTGGTTCCTGTTATATTAATTTGATTGTTCTATGTAAAGAAATAATTATTATATCATACTTGAACATCTTTATTCACTCTCTGTCTTGATTTTTGTAAGCTCACTTTCAAGATTAATTGGGACTAATATTAGTTATTGAACAACTTTTCATTCAATGTGGAAAAAGCTTACAAAAATCACACCAGAATAAAGGGTTGTAAAAGTTGTTACTACTTACCCTTGATTAATCGATATGCTACTGGATGCAGCCCATTTGGTACTATTATGATGAAAAATGTTAATATTTTTCTCTTGCCATCCACAGGGGTTTAAGGCTTTGGCCAAGCCCCTTGTGAATAAAGAAAGAATATTAAACCTCTGGGATACATTTTCTGATGTGATTTTCTTCTTTCCTTTCATTGTTCCTGCTCCTATGAATCAAGAAAAATTTGATATTCAAATTTCTTTTCCTTTCAGATCCTCAGAAAGCGCTATGCGTTGTCACTGGACTGCCTGCAAAGTAAGAACTGCAAAAGCTAGCGTTATTTATTTTGAAAGGGAATTTTTATTTAGAAGCTGAGGTTTGACTATATGGTTATCATATTGGTAACCTGGAGTTTTTCCATTCTTAATTCTCCATTTTATACCAAATGCATATCTCCAGTAAGCCAATTCAATAGCTTCTTTTGCAATGTCTATTATAGACTAATTAATTTGACGATTCTTTAGAACATATATGCCTTTTGTATTAAGATAGACTGAATAGGCTGAAGGAGATGGTACTCATGCCTTGGTTATATGTTTACCAGACAGTATATTCTAACATGTTTAAATGGCTGATATATTCTAGGTACCGAGATCCAAAGACAGGGCTACCTTATGCAACAAAAGAAGCATTTCAGATAATACGTGAACGGTATTACTTCATTGTCTTAATGCACCTTTTTCTCGTATTTTACTTCTGTTTCATTTTCATTCACTTAGAAGTGACATAACTCACAAACACCATAGCATTTTCCCTTTTATTTTTCCTTCTCTTGTGGCCATTTACTTATGAATATGATATTATGCGGATAAGTTTTCTGTTGGGTTAAAGTTTTGGATAATTTATTCACTGCTAAAGACAGAGAAGTATAATCTGTTTCTACATTCAAGTAAAACATAGAAGAAATTTCTATGAAATACATCTGTTATCTGAAACAATAGGTTGTCATGTAAAAGGCTGTGGTGTACAGCTGAAACCATAAGCTTCTAAACCAGTTGATATATGCTGATGCTGTGTGAATCATATTCCTGTAATTTTTTGGTAGATTGTCCAATTTCCCATTCGAGTTGCTCCGAAGGTATTTTCCTACAGTTCAGAACTTCAGATTCTTATGTCTTGTCATTAGATCTTTTTATTTGTCACCTCCACCTTTAGCTTCACTTAATTTGGTATACATTCATCTCAAAATTTAGTAATTTTATGAAACATGGTGGGAAGTGACAGAGATGAAACATCTGATTGTTTGGGCAGTAGTACTAGTGACGGGTGGAACTACTGTCGGAGAGAACCTATGCTACCTGGACTCAACTGGAAGTTTCCAACCCATGTATTGATAAATGTGTCTAATTGAAATTTCCTGGTTAAGGGTTTGTTCTCCTCACTTATTTCAGGTATAATAAGTTCGAGACAAGTTCTTATAATATAAGTTAATATCAAATAATTTATGGTCAGGTTTAATAAGTTTAGATCAGGCTTCCATTCTCCCCACCTTATTGTCACTTGTCACATGTCTAATAAGTATAGATAAGATAACTTCAGGCCTTATAAGCTCAAATGAATTCATATAATATAATTTTATGGCATAAGATAATTGAAATTCGGGTGAAGAGAACAATACCTCAGTGACTTAACAATTTTACCTGGTTTGGTCTAAAATGAAGTGTCATGTCATATCCACATCTAATTGCCAAGTTTCCAACACAGGTAGTTTTGGTAAAATGAAGTGGTAGAGAAACATAGGAGAAAGCACTATGAGCAAAAAATTTGGACCTAGCCACCAAAACTATAGTCACCAACCAAAGTGAAAGAACTATTAACCAAGCACTTGTGGAATAAGGGCTGATTAGGTTTTAAGTGGATAAAGTCGCCTTTTTTTTTTATGAAAAAGTTACGGTTTTCACTTGTGAACTTAAACGCCAAAAATCTCTTCCCATGAATGAATAAACAAAATGCTTGAGCAAACCCTTTCATCCATCAATTTTGCGACTATGAATACAACTGTCTTCCTTATATAGAGGCTTCTATTGGATACAACCTTAGAATACAAAATGCTTGACAGACTATCCATTCATCAAATTTCCAACACTCTGATTATTACAACTTAAATGTCTACCTTATGTAGAGAGAGGCTACTGGTGGTTACAGGCTTAGCCGCTTAGAATACAAAATATCATACTTACACTAAGGTTATCCGAATATTAGACGTATCTAAGCATTGCTGAGATATTTTCTCCAGAAATATTAAAATATAAATCATGAATTTATTGACTCTTGCATAGTTGGTCAGATGAAACTGAGTTGGAACTTTGAAGGCCTGGAATAGTGGAATTGTCTACAAAAGAAATTGCTTCCGGTTTCTTGCTGTTGCTTGCTGATCAATTAGTGTCTATGTCTAGCTTTTTAATATTGTTTTGAGACATTTCAAACAACATAAATCATCTCGATGCAATTTTTCAAGTATTGTAATTAAAATCTTTCACACTTGCAAAAGCAAATCACAAGAAATTAAGACTTTTATGGGCAGTTTCATAGGGGCACATATTATTTGGTTTTTTTTTTTTCTTCCCTTTTCCTATTTACTTATCATGTTTTTTAATTATTATTTCTGTTATTCTATTGACATGGTTTACTTAGTGTTCATCTCTATGTCATTATGTGCCATGTAAACATGATAAATATTCCACACAACATTTGCCATTGCCAAATTTATGCTTGCTGCGTGGTTTATCTGTTTATCTCATTCAGTGTTGTGAGTTCCTGTTCACTGTTGAGGCATTTGCAGTTTTGGATATGTAATTAAAGAGTTATTATTCATACATTAGGGTGTGGGACATTAGTTGGGAATATTGATGGAATCTTGAACATGATTAGTAATCTCTTTTCATTACTACGAATAAGACGTAATTCATAGCAATTAGTTAGCCAGTAATATTAAATTGACTTATAATTAATGAGAGTCAAGAGATTCATGTGGGGGCTGAATAATAGAGCCCTGCAGTCCCGCTTCCCAAGTGGTGTTGGAGGGTTTGATTTCAATTGCCTCCAACCTCATTTGAGTTGGCTAGGTTTTTCTGGCCAGCTAATATCATTCCATGTAAATATGTAATGATATGCATAAAATTATATTTCTTTGTGTTATACGTGGATGTGATTGAGCTATGTGATCAAACGAAGCATGTGAAATTTTGACAGCAATTCTTCTGATGCCAATGATTTCTGTTTTGACTGACCTATTCTTGTACTGCAGCTATTCTGCTGAAAATAACCATGCTGAAAGTAAGTTGGCTAGTGGTGATTTGTATGATTCAATAATTGGGCAAGGATTTATGAGAAAGAGGAAGAGATCTTCCACCCCACATCAAAATGAAATATCATATACTCAAACTTCGAGGCGGTTTTACAGAATTCCATCTGCTGACGATTTGGTTTCAGATTAGTTGCTAGTGCAGTAAGTTACGGAGTTTTTATGCCATCAATTAGGTGTATATTGGAGTACGATAAGTCTCACCCTGATGCCACAGCTGGAGATTGGAATGTCAGATTGATTCATCAAGCTTTGGTGAAGGAAACATTTCATTTGCCTAGTCAGTAATAGAGCAAGTGGATACAGAAGCTACAGTGGTGTAGAAATGCTGCTGCTGAATTGTGGTTTCTGGCAATCATTCAGAGCTCATATTACTGAATGTCCTAGGTGAAGATCCTTTTCGGTGGCAATACAAAAATTCATCTAATTTTGGGATATAGTCGACTCTTGGCTATATTGTGCCTTTGCAACAACCCACTGTGACTATAGTCGGCCTAAATTCATTCATTATAAGCAAAAATGGAGAACAATGATAAGCAGCTGTGGTGTATAGGATGTTTGTCCATGCTTATCCAAGACTGTGCAAGAAGATCAATGTGAGCCCAAGCGTTGTTGACATGAGTTTTATACTTGGCGATTTAGAAGTTCATGTGAATTTATGTTATTATAATGATTTTTTCTCAATTCTCAGTGCCTAAATTTTATCAGATGTAATGTGCTTTGTTTAATGGACACACACATAGTTGAAGTTATGTATATATAGGAGCAAAGTAGTAAAAGTTAATAAATTACCACCCTCTTTTTATGGAGTATATGGTAAATGGTTAGCTTGATATTGCTCAGTTTTTATGTTGAACATATAAAATTTTTCTCAGCACCTTTTTCTCATTTCGTAGTATTTGTCAATCATTGACAAAGCATGACAGTTTTTTTTTTGTTGTTCTTACTCCATAATGTTAACCCCAAAAGGGCGTAAGTTACTTTGATTGTCACATACATTAATGCACATAACTTTAAAAGCGTACGCATTGTGACTAATCCAATATAGCACAATACTTCCTATCATTATTTTTTTGAAACAAATGCTTTGTATTTCATAACATTTTATTACGAGTATCATATTAAAATGACAAAAGCTAAAGAACGCTCTTGAGACATTGGATAAGATAACTTAAAAATACAAATTTTCCGTATTAAATTAAAATAAACATTAAATAGACCGATCAATGCATAATTAGTGCAAGTACTGATAAAAAAGTTAGAGAGACAAAATAATAAGAGAAGTTGAGAGGTTTCTCGAAGAATATTTACCCAAAACCTTCAACTTTGAACCTTCTTTCTTCTTCTTCAACCTCACTCAACAATCAAACCTTCTTTCCCAGAAAACTCTCAAAAATGGTGGTCATCGAACCAGCAAACGAAGAATCACCACCACCACAACACCAGATCAACCACAAAAATCTCGATTCTGAACCTGAAACGAGTTCCGCCATTAACAACAACAACAACAAAGACGTTTCTGAGGGTTTCGAAACTGCTAGCGAAGGCGATCATTCTGATAGAGGCACCGATTTTGGCGATGACGATAACAATGGCGACGACGAACAACAGCATAATCAACAAGGAGATGGAGAGGAAGAACAATCTGCGCCATTAATGGCTGCTAAAGATGATTCTTATGAAGATGCTCTTGATGATGATCAATTGAAACAGGTATTGTTAATTTCTCTTTCTTAATTTTGATTTTGGAACTGTTTTTGAGCAATTCTAACTTATCGTTGGTTATAAATTTGTTAATTTTTGAGAATTGTGGTTGAATTTAGACATTTTTTTTTATATGAATTTGATTTTCTGCTTAAAATTCACCTTCCTGTAGAATAAGGAGTTCATTATGCTCTCTTGAACTTAGTATTGATTATACTTTGTAGCTAGAGATATAATTTTTGGATTATATTTGGTTATCTATGAAGTATCATTGTAATGTATTGTAAGTTTGGTCTTTTGATACTATCAGATTGATAAACTAATGCATTTGGAATCCTTCTTTTGAGGAAGGTTTGTAGAGATAGCTCTTAGCTTGTGCTCAAGCGCGATTTTCTGGTTTTGATAGGCGCAGTCCTATAGGCCAAGTATAAGCATTGAGTAATGGTATTGTTTAAAAAGTTGTGATAAAACACGCGTTTGTTGGTGATATTAATGTTTGGCTGATGCTTAGTGTTTACAACGTTGTCGATTTGTTTATATATGTGGTGACTGAATAACATTTACTTATTTTTAGATGTTTATGTAATAATTGACAGATGAATTTTGTTGTTTTTAGTGTTTGTCATGCCTGAGTACTTGATGTACTTATGGAAGCCTTGTGTTTTCTATGTATCTTAGTTGACATGAGACTGTTGTTCATTTATGCAAAACTGTTAATGGCTTCCTTCTGTTTTTAACAGCGAGCGCTAGCACAAGCTAATGATGCAAAAGTAGAAGGGAATACATTGTTTAAGGATGGTCAATTTGAGGATGCATTGTTAAAGTATGAGTCGGCTCTACAAGTAGCTCCAGAAATGCCTGAATCAGTAGAGTTACGTTCTATCTGCCATTCGAACCGTGGAATATGCTACTTGAAACTGGTATGTTACTGTTGCTTCCTATTGATCTCGGTCCTGTAGACTGATGTGTGCTAGCTTTAGTCTTTTAGGCAATCATCAATGGACAAGATACAATTAACTGAAATTAAGGCTTGAATAATTAAAGCTGTGATTATAAATTCTAACTGATAAACCTCCATTATTGCTGAATAGTTTAGTTTTAAAAGTAATCTAAGATGAATTAATTTAGATAACAATCATTGGTCTTTAATGTCTTATCCCTCAGGTTTTAAGTGTTCTTTTGGAAACCTTCCCGTTGTGCTGTACATTGACTGAAATTTGAGCCTTTCAGGGTTATGACCCTTTAGTTTACAAAAGGATACTAGGTTCTTCACTTGCTTTTGTTGAGACATAGAATCGTAATTATGTTTAATCTTGGATAATTTATTTTGCGTATATGGCTTGTCATTTGTTATTGCTTGTCAGAAAACTTTATTTCACCTTCTCCCTATTTTAAACTTTTGGGGCTTTCACAGTTTTCGTAAAGAATGTTGTGGAGACTGGAGAGGAGGTGGGGGGAAGTATTCTCCAATTGAGCTACTAATGTGACTGGAAGGTTAGGGTTGATATTCTCTATTAAAACCACAGCTATTTAGTCTAGTAAGTTTAAGTCATTGCAGTTTTATTATTGTGGCGTTTGGAATGTTTTCTAGCACTTCGCAAATAACCTCTCTTTTATTATATGAAGAGATTGAATTTTTGTAAGGCTGCATTTTTTATTCGTGAGATTAACTTTTTTATTAAGTATTGTTTGGGTCTCGTAAGTTATAACTATACTTAGTTCAAAATTGTTTTAGTCCTGGTATACATAATGGCTTGTTGCAATGGGTGATCACTCATTAATTTGTGGTGATGTTATGTTCTCAAAGATATTTTTGGATATAAGATTTCAAAAGTAACTAGTTTTACTTGTTAAATCTTGAGGTAGTAGCATAATCTTGGAAAATATAATCATTTATAAATAAAGACTAGTACTTAATCTCCAAGTATCTTAGCCTTTGAGTATCCTTAGTACAAACCAATTTATTATTGCATTTTATTCCGTGATTCTGTTTCCTTCTTGTTTCAAGGGTCATGCAATTTTATTTTATTTTTTTAGCAAGAAGATTCTGGTAAAAGTTTCTTATTATTAGTACTATAAACTTCTCTTACAATATTGCTTATTTAATTGTGGGCTTGCTTATATTTTGTCTTGTTTGATGATGGTTGTTGGCTTGTTGCTCAATTCATGACAAAAAATCTGGGTTCAAACTGTGTAGCATTCCAACGGAACACAATAAAATGTTTCCTTTGGGTGTGTTTAATGTAGAACTTTGTGCGTTGGTTGCTAAACTTTTTGGCCATAGATTGTGTTATACGGAGTAGACATTTACATGAAAGGGCTGAAACTAATAGTCCAGAAAACTGACTATGGTGCACTGGCCACCAAATTATGGTTGAAGTTCATATTGCTTATTACTTCAGTGTGTTCAGTTTTATTAGCATGTTCATAAAGCTGAATTTGCATCTGATATGTACCCCACACTGCTTATTAATTCTGTATCTTGTTGGTGCTTTCATGAGTAAGTATCCAATTGTTAGCTGGATGCTTAATTTGTACATAACATATGTGGCTCATATTCTATACTTCCTCCGTTTCTTTTTAGTTGACACGTTTCTTTAGTCACGTTTGTCAATGCACTTATTCAATCATTAATATCTTTAATTATCGATAAGCAAAAATTATGAAAAGTTGATATTTTGAAAGTATATAACGTGACGAATCTAACAAGATCCCACGTGATTATATTTTTCATTACGTATAAAGCACAAAACACGGTCAAAAAGAGGTGTGTGAATAGAGCTAAAGTCAAAACGTGTCAACTAAATAAAAACAGAGGTAGTATTGCCCTTGCTGTGTTCAGGGTAGTGAGTCTACTGTTTGTAGGAGTGATACACAAATGACTAATCTATGTATATACTGAGTTTTGTTGTCATGTGATATTGGGTTGTGAGTAAACTGGGCTGTGAGTCACGTGATATTGAGTTGCGGGATAGAATGTGCAATATCTTTTGTGTGTTCCTTTTGTACCATTGGGGTAAGGGGGAGGGGGGGTTGTGTAGCTTTTTCTCTTAGGTATTATGAACCTCTCTCTCTCTTGAACATATTGCTCCCACCCCTCACCTCAATAACATACTATATTTATGTGTTTCTACATGTTGGCTGCCATTAAGAATTGTAGGCAGGGAAGACACTATCTTCCTGTTAATGATTATTTCAGTTCTGTAATTCCATTCTTTTGCATGTTGCTCATTTAGGGGAAGTATGACGAGACAGTGAAGGAATGCTCAAAAGCTATAGAACTAAATCCAACATATGTTAAAGCTCTTCTTAGGAGAGGAGAGGCTTATGAGAAGCTTGAACGATATGAAGAGGCTATCTCTGGTGAGCTTCCAAATTGTTCCGCGTTTTCTGCTTGATTAATTTATTTTAGAGATGATATTTTAGCAATTTACCAATATGATTCTTTCATAATCTGATTTCCTCGTGCATTTATACCATTTTTGGTGGTTTCTATTTTGATATTTTGCAGATATGAAAAAAATAATGGAAGTGGAACCTTCAAATGACCAGGCTAGGCGAAATATTGTTAGGTTGGAGCCGTTAGCCCGAGAAAAGATGGAGAAAATGAAGGAAGAGATGATTGGTAACCTTGTTCTTCTTCTTCTTTCTTTCTTTCTTTGTTTCATTCTTTGATCTTTACTCTCCTTTGTGATTACTTTCTCCATTTTGTAAGTGGTTTGCTTATTGATGTTAATGCACTTGATTATTTTATTGTATACTTGATGTTGTCTGTATTGAGGTTGAGGATTTGTGTGCAAATCAAGTCAGATGCTACCCGTGCTGAAATTTTCCCCTTGTTTAAAGTTGAAGCCAAACTTTGTCCTTCAATTTAGCCAGCTAAATGCTACAAATAAATTTATCAGAAAGATGAAAATTAAGTTGACTAAGGTTTAGAAATATCAACGAGTATGGAATTGGAGCTTAGCCATAATGTCGAAAATTTACTACTGGCAACCCATCTTAAAGTATATAGTAGCAATAATCTGTGGCTTGTTCTTCTAAAGTATGTAAAGTGGAAGCAATATAATTGAGAGAGCTTGTATATATGTCTAGAGGATTGTCTACTTTACTGAGAGTTTAAGGATATGTTTTGTGAGTGTTTACTGGCGCAGGGAAGAAGTTAAATCAGTTGGCTATGATGAACAGAGATTCTCCATCTTTTTATAAACTTACTCAAAATAAATTTCTTGCTCCTTTATGAACTAATCAAGCTGCAAAATGGTTTGAACTATCTTTGTAAGGAAATCTATGTACAGGCTATATACTATGTACAAGATAACTCAAACCATTTTGCATGCGTTAGTTCAATTAAGCTGCAAAATGGTTTGAGTTATCTTGTAATGATTTCAATGTAATAAGGTATATTATGCATGTGGTGAGTTCTGATTCTTCTGAATGTTCGGACCTTATATAGAAATACAATAAAACCAGATGCTCTACAGCGGTAAACTGTTGAATTGTTGCTGATTTAAATTCACAATATTGGCATTTGGCTAACTGCCAATTTCTTTTTATATGTTAAGTGTTTTTTTAGCCTTTTGATTTAGAAATTGCAACAAGTTTGTTTCTGTGTGTATGTCATGTTTCTTTATAGTTTTGCGGTCATAGCCTTTTGATTGCGAAGAAAAATGTTACGTATTAGAAAGTCCGTCATGGTTGCCATGTTATGAATGGAGTCCTAACATAATGTGTGTGTGCAGGAAAGCTCAAGGACGTCGGTAACAATATACTTGGCCGCTTTGGAATGAGTGTCGACAACTTCAAAGCCGTGAAGGATCCTAACACTGGTTCTTACTCAATTTCATTTCAACGCTAGTCTACTTGGTGGATATTTACAATTCACTAAAACTGAAGCAGCTTTGGTACTTAAGTGTTAGAAGACCATTTGCACACGATGGTGGAAGTTTTTCGCGCAGCTGGTGATGTTACCTGACTACCAGCTAAGAAAAAGGAACTAATTTTGCAATCCATATTCTTTGAGCTAGCCTGCATATTGGTAGTTGGTGTTTTTTTCAGAAACCAATTGCATTACCCAAAACAATGGCTACCGCAATATTATCTTTTGTGAAGGCTTACTGCTGTTTCTAGTCTTGATTTATAGACTGCAAAATGGCTTTGATTGTCACCATTTCGCAAGAAATATTGCACTATACTGGGTCTAAAAGCTGTTTATACAACAATATATATCTTTTGTTGCCGTGATTACCTTATTTACTTCATGTTGATAGAAAAGTTGGGGCTTAACTAAAGCTTATTTGAATTAAACTCTGAAGGTTGTCTATCCTTGACTTATTGAGTTTATTCGTATATTTACTCAAGTTCGAATAAAATGATCTACAAGACTAATGTTTCTGTGAAATGCGATTGTGTGAACCCTGAGTATTGCATAGCTCCGAGCCTGCGATTTCTGTTTTCAGTTCAAAGAGTACGGTGAATGTAGTGTATTATGTAAATTGGAGAGCATTTAGAGTAATCTTTTCATCATCTTTGTTCATCACCTTAAATGGTTCTCTGAGATGTTTTCTTGCTGCTCTGAAGTTGGTAAAAATAGACTATAAGCATACAGAATAAACCATATGTTTAAAGGGAAATTATTAATGGTACACCCAAGGTTCGAGCGTTTATCAATGGTACACCTACTAACTATTGTTTATCAGCAGTACACCCAAGGTTTCACACACTCATTTACAGTAAACCTAACGTTAAACAAACGTTAATTTTTGCTTTTTTTATTTTTTTTTAACTTAAAAAACTTCCTCCTTTTTTCCCTCTTTGCTTTCCCTCCATTTTTTTAAAAACTAATTAACTTACCCACCCACTCCAACTGTATACATATATAGTTTCCTTTGTGTATTGAATTATGCATTTGGATTTGCACATCATTTGTTATTGTTTAAATAAGAATTTCAGCAATTTTAAAATTAGAAGTCCATAAAAATAACATACTTAGCTTTATCGATATCAAAAGAAAAGATTACAACAACATTACATTATTTCAAAGCTACTACTAATAACACCATATACATAACAATAACAATTTTGACCATCAAATGCAAATTCATTTGTTTTGTGCATGAACTCGTTGAAATCTCTCCTCAAAAGTTGAACACAAGTAGCTTCAGGTGTATTAGCAACCCTACCTGCTATGTCAGTAACAATATGCTCCTCTTTAACCCACATGAAGAATTCACACAACCTGCACTTGTAGTAGGGTCTTCCAGGGTTTGAAACAGAGCTTGAGAATCTAATATCAACATATCTTGAGGGGGTCACAGTTGCAATTAACTAATTTGATTCACAAACCCTACCATTCCTATTGCTAGAAGACCCCATGATAGAAGAAGCCATTCACAAGCCAAAATAAATAAAATAAAAAGAAAGTGAAGTGGGAAATTCGAGAAGGAGAAGAGTAAACTGCAAAAGAGGGGGGGAAACTATATATACACTTGGAGTGGGTGGGTGAGTGAGTTAGTTTATAAAAAAAGAGGGAAAGCAAGGGAGAAAAAAAGGAGGGAGTTTTTAAGTTAAAAAACAAAAAAAACCAAAATTAACGTTTGATTAACGTTTGTTTAACGTTAGGTTTACGGTAGATGAGTGTGTGAAACCTTGGGTGTACTGCTGATAAATAATAGTTAAGTAGGTGTACCATTGATAAACGCTCAAACCTTGGGTGCACCATTGATAATTTCCCTATTTTTAATAACTTTTGATACAACAATTATTTGATCAATCTAAAGTGTGAGGCTTTGTTCTACTCAGTGGCAGATCCAGAAATTTATAAATGGGGGTTCAAAAGAAACTTTCAACTTAATCATCCCAACGTAAGGAGTACAAAGTAATACATTGTCAAAGACATATCTCCAAAAATTACAAATCGTTTTTAATAACACAACAAATAATAGGGTTTGTACTCATGAAAAAGATTCATGATTATTTAAAAGAGAAAACAAAACAACACATAATTTAGAAGAAATTACAATTGTTCTTGTCGATTTTAATTTCTTTGAAGCGCAATATTTGTCTCTATGAAAGAAACCAAACAATAATCATTTAAAAATAACCATCTACTACCTCCGTTAGACATTATTTGCAACGATTTGACATAAGGTAAAGAAGGAAAATGTCTAATCGTTGCAAATATAATATGTAACGGAGGTAGTATATCATTTCGTAACTTATAAAAATGCTCTTTCTAGTTTCTACACTTGCGGTTGCCACAAGAAGAATTATCACCAACTTGATGAGCAAATAAACTTGTTGGTGCACTTGAATATCTGATACTTCTTTGTTTCAGACTTTGAGGTGGAAAGAGAAATTAGAAAATTGTGTGGGTGTTTGAGACTTTGAGCTGGAGAGAGAAAATTAGAAAGTGGTAAAATAGGTTATGTGAAATTAAAATAATTTCATTTCTTTTCCCTAATTGTTCACTTCACGTGAGTGATCAAGATTTGAAAAAAAATAAAATTAAATAAAAAAATAAAATAGCAGTCATATCTTCACGTGAAGAAGCAAGAAGATAGGATGTAAAGAAGTAGGTGTGTTTGTCAGCTTATGATATAAAGATATTTAAAATGAAAGTCCAAATTTTTGGGCTTTTATTTTTTAAAACTAACGTTCCTAAGCAAATCATATTGCCAAATAACTACGGAGTATTACACATGTAATTCATTCCTTTGTCTGAATCGATAATAGTCTCATTGGCTCAGCTCCTTATAATATAGATCAAAATTTTACTAAAAGTCCTTTGGTCTAAGGGTATAACAGCTAATACAATTACAGAGTATTATATATTACTCTATCTTAATTTAAGAATTTTTATTTTCAATCCTATAATTCTATGTAATAGTATATGTGACTATTATTTCCAGATAGTGACAAATAAACATATTTCACTAAAAAAGATGCTAAGAACTCTTAATCCTCTAATTGCTTGACCAAGTGAACTCCATCCAAGAACATAATTTAGCTTTTCGGAGATTGATTATACTCATTCTAGTCATGCTCACACACGCTTGCATAAGAAAGACAGGATATCAAGATATCTATCCTGGCTTACACACCTTGTTACAAGGTTATAACTATGATGTTTTTTTAACTAGCTTTTCGTTTACATATAATCTGCCTCTCTTCACTAATGCAAGATTTAGGGGTCAAGCAACTTCACAGAATATGCAGAGGCAAGTAAAGAACTTCATAAAACACGACAGGAAGACTGTCTGATAATAATAGAGCATCAACATACCCCAACCTTGCAGAAATTCGAATAAGGTTGACAATTGCAACGAGTTAGTACAGTATTGTACTATGGTTTATTGCCTTGTTTGTATCAAAAAAATGTTTAATTCAATCATCTAAGAATGCTAGTGAGATTCTTGTTCTATATACAACTCAGATCTACTCTGATGAGAAAAATATTTATGGAAGTTACAACAGCTAATATAACAGTAATGTGACAACAGGACTAAGCTTTAAGCCCATGTTATTCTTCTTTTGCTGGTATTATTAGGGATCAATCGATCTCCCCTTTGCACCAGACCCAACTCGCAATTTAGGAGACTTAATGCTATCACACGAGATTTCTCCAATTGTATGGCAATTTTATTCATATCCTCTTTCAAGATGACACGGCATTTTCAGCTGTCTTCTGTTCAGACTTCTTGGCTGCTAACATTGCAGCATGTTGTTCTAGGTACTCTTTGCTATTTATTTCTGTTAATCTGCAAGCATGAAATCCACATAAAGTAAACTTGGAATTCAATAGACAGACCTCCAAAAAAGGTACAGAGAAGAGAATTGGTAATTCACAACTCTCTTGATCCTATAATGTCTCCCTTTTATTACTTAGTGTCAAAACTTGCCCATTTCTTCTTAAAAGAATACAACATTGATATATCACAAGGATAACACTTTGTTATGTTTGCATTGAAAAATGCTTTTATTGTTATACATACTGAAATAAGGGCAAAAGTTTGACAGAAAAAGGAACACTGTTAAAGAATAAGTAACTTCAAAGCTAATTAAGAGTATCCGAGGAAACTGATATACCCTAGTGGTAATTTCTAATATGTTAAGGATACAGCAAGCACATCAGTTAATTGATTCACACACTAATGAAGCCAGCATTTAACCCCCCACACCCCTTTTTCTGCCAAATATAAAAAGAAAACAGAAATACATACCTACTAATGGTGCGATCCTTGGCAAATCCAAGTTCATTGTCAACACAAAGATCAGCAAAATCTTTCTTTGCTGATCTTGAAGAAGTCCGTGGTGCCATGCTCTTGGCCTCAGATATTGTTACAACTCTTTCAAAGAGTTCATACGGGCTACCCTCAGCAGTACACAGTAATCTAGCTTTGTTTTCATACATCACCTGGTAGAATACAAAGAAATTTTTTAGCTTATAATTTTAAGGTGCAGTCTCAGGATCCAATAAGGCAGTGATTACCTCACAATCTTGTGCATTTAGTTTAGATTTCTCAAATTTTAAGTATGAAAATAAAGTTATTTTTAAAACACATGTAACACTAGGCATTTCTCAATACATATGTAAATAAATAAATACACCAATGAACCAATGCAGATTTGTACACACCAAGGCCAAACTTAATCACAAAGAAAAGCAGTGTAATAGACTAACTTTGAGGGGTAGTATAGGTATTCTAGTTTTATTAGTTTATTAGGGTTGATAGTCCTTAGTATAAATAGGGAGGTAAGGGAAGGAAATAGATAGGCAAAAATTTGGTATGAACCTTTTGGAGAGTTATGGCCTAAAGCCATTTTGGAGAGTTGTGAGCTAAACTCACTTTCGAAGATTGATAGCCTTAAGCTATTAGCGTATCGTTTGTAACCCTTTCACTATTATCAATCAATTTAAAGCTTTCACCTTTATTAATTTGCTATTTACAATCCGAAATCAGTGTTGTTACACTGACTTTGCTGGGTGACCGAACTCAGTTCGTTGCAAGCAGTATGTTATATATTCCTTTTACATTTCTCTTCTCCCAGTTCTCTTCCTGATTGGTATGACACTATGACCGCATGAGCATTCATATATCAATGACATTATCATACTCAAAACTGAATCTTGACAATATCATAATTCTCTACCATTCACATAAAAATGCAACAAAACCAATAGGACAGGCATTTAAGAATTCAGGAAAAAAGACGTACATCAATTAAAGTGACAAACCGGTATGCTGCTGTCCTGTTATTTAGCCCAAAAATTGGCACCCCATCTATTGCCAGAGTGTGAAATTTCTCTGCAAAATAAAACATATCATAAATCATGTATATACAACATATAACATTGCAAAATCTACAGGCAGATGCACCACAGAACGACAGCAAATAGTAAAAATAAAAATGAAACAATAATGACAGGACCAAAGACAGTCAGCTGCAAGATCAATTTTGATAGTTACAAATTGGGAAACTGAAGCCTAGCAACACAAAAGTTCTCATGTTACAACAGCCTCAGATCAGAGAACATAATGTCTCAGTAGACACCATGATGAATTTGCTTCTATAAAAATGTTGGTATATTATACGTAGTATTATACATGTGTATCATTCATTTATTTCACATACATATAGTAAAAACTATGTACAAGCAGCACTCATCTAAAACCAGCAAGGAAAAAAGATGAGTGAAATTTGCAGATATTTTAATAAAGTAACATTGCTTACTGAATAATCCAAAATAATCTGCAGCTCCAAGAGGTCTATCACACAGCTCTTCGAAAGGAAAATAAGCACAACCATTAGCACCCAATGGAACCTAAAAAATGTTAGCAGAATGTTTAGCAAGTTGGATTTATCATGCTTAAGCACTAGCGATATTTATTGTAAACGAACCTGTAATTTCCTTCCCATAACCACTTCTACCTCTTGTGGATGAGGTTGATGTTCCCCTATTAGCTGCTGAAACTTAACCTTCAGAAGACCTGACATATCCAGTCCAACTAAATAAAAGCCCTGCTCACCCTGCAATTGCAAGTATAGGCAGGAGCTATTACTAATTAGTATATAAAGATGAAAAATCCATGTTATAAAAGACTACACTAAATTAGAACCAAACTTACTGAGGTCATCTTCCGATAATCCACTGATGATCCAATTTCATGCACTGCACATCTTTCCTGCAAAAATAATGAGAATGAAAAAAAATAGAAATTCTATAGGTGGTTGAAGTAAAAATTGTCAAATGACAGTTTATCTTGAAGGAATGACTTCGTATCTCTGGCACAACTGAAAGCCTTGTTTTTCTACTATTGTCTTTGGGTTAATCTTGAAAGCACTGTTAATTCATATTCTACTGATCAAACTTTACGAAGCAATTAAGGTCAAAGGTATACTAAGATGAGCCTTGAGACTCACCTTAACTGTGGCAATAAAAGGTAGAAAAAGATCTCTCTGTAGGCCACCTTCATAGAGATTATCTGGGGTGCGATTTGAAGTTGCAACAAGAATCTAAATTCAGCACAGAGAAACAAGGGGGAAAAAATCAATCTGTGGAAGATAGAGAGAGGGGAAAATTGAAAATTATTTAATTCAGGCAAGAGCAACAGTTTGAAGTTAAAAATGCTTACAACACCATTGCTGAACAGATGTCCAAATAAACGATTCAATATTAATGCATCAGCCACGTCGGTTACCTGGGAACCCAATAAAAAAAAACAGATAGCAATTTGTCAACATATATTACACCAATTAAAGAAGCTGTTGAGATCATTGGTATGGTTCCATATGCCCAGTGCTGTACCATAAATTCGTCAAGACATAACAAAATTGCATCATCTGATATCTCATCTGCAACAACCTCAAGTGGATCAGTCACACCCCTGTGTTTCTGCAAATAGACAAAATTATTAAAATCTTACATTCACGCTGTAATAACTATAAAAAAAACATGGTACCATTATTCTACTATGCAGTAAAATTAAACCTGAGATCAATTTATATTGAATCGTCACTATTCTTCCATGTAGCAAATGACTATAGTCTATACATCAGTTTAATCTTCTGAATTGAAAAACTATTAAGTGAAATCACCAGTTTATTCAGAGACATGAAATAAGCATGAGTAACCATACAAAATATCTAATAGTCAAAAGACTCATATCATTCCCTCACATTCTCCCCAAACAAGGGAAACAACCCCCAGATAGCCCTGCCCCACAATGAATTTTTTTCTTTTGAGTTATCTTCCTTGGAATACTCTAAAGATTCAAATTGTTGCAAGTGGTCTGAAACAATCAGCTTCTAATTGACATTCTATTTTCAGTGATATATGTTCAACTCTATGGTTCTTGATTTTCAAGACAACACTCTCATCAAAAGAATTTAAAGTAGAAACACACGCACCTGCAAACGGCTATGAACATTGAGCATGAAGTCATGAAAATGTATCCTCCTTTTCCTCCAATTGCAAGGTCTGACAAGAGTAAATATATAATCACTTCTAAAAGGTAATTGAAGGAAGTAAATAATGTAACAATTAGCATATAAATTTATATCTAGCAACATTCTACTAGTTTCCTTTAAAATCAAACAAATGAATATTGTCTTACAGTTGATGATAAAACAAGTCCATCAACATGGTTTTTCCTGTGCCAACTCCACCATAAAGATATAATCCTTTCACAGGGGAATAAGATGTTTGTGGAATAAATCGAGACCATAACCACCTACTCCTGCATCACAAACTAAATCTTCAACTTCAAAAGCCACAAAAAAAGAAGCAGAGTAAATAAATAACACTAAGAAGCAACAATAACAAGAAAGAGAAGAGCACTTGCCTCCCAGATATTTCTGAAGTTGCATAGCGATCCAACCGGCATTCATTTTCTTTCTTAACAAGCTCATCATAGAGCCTCTGAAGCTCTCTCAAAGTGTCTAGCTGCAGTGATTATAGTCAGCATTTCATCCAAATGACAATATCTGATAAAATACAATACTTATGCACGCTGCCAAACATAACATTGTACTATGTACATTCAGTTCTTACATAACACTTGGCAGTTTTAATGCATTTTTACTTACAATTAGTCAATTACAACCTTTTCTAGACAATAATTCACAACAATGCATCAATATTTTTGGCAATTAACAACATTGCACCAATGTATAGGAATTCCAGAAATCAAATTACAAAGATGCTAATTGCTGAAACCAATACAAGCAGTCATTAACCCTTTACAAATTGATAGATTACAGTATAGAGATTTTTTAAAATTTCGATTCAAGCAGTTTCAAGATTTAACACTTCATACCTGACATAGATCACCATCAAATAGTTCACCAGCCGCAACTCGCCTTTCATACTCCACAAGAGGGCCTCCTTTAATCCCATCTGTAGTACAACAATCAGAGCAAAGACTTAACCCAAATTTTCGTGAACATTTTTCTTACACCCAAACATATATTTGAGAGTGTTTGTTTCACTATATCAAACTCCACTAACTCTTAATCACATTATTTGAGAGTATTTAAACTTAAGAACAGAAGGTGACCTCCATTGGAAATTTCCACTGCTTCGGATGACAAGTATCTTGATGGTATAAAAAACGGACGAGCATATCTATGTATTTGCAGATTTCGAATAGCCTCATACTTATAATTCGAACTCCGATTTACCAAATATCTCCTCCTTGCCAATCCAATTGCATAATTTTCTCCTTGGGACCTTAAAATTGATTGAAATTGGCGAATAGAGCGAGCTAATATTCTCATTTTCTATCCTCTACCACAATAGAGATGGGGCAATATTCAACCACACCAATGAAGCTTAAACTTCAAGTGTAGTTCAATGTATTACAGTGATGCAAAGTTCTGAAACAATCCAAAAACAAATACCAACATTAACTTCAATTAGACTGTTTCTTGAGATATATACAAGTTAAGATTCTCACATTAAAACTACTTCGTAGTACAAATAACTAGTATTAAATTACAAACAATCCCACCTATAAATTATCAATGTGCAGTCATAATACCACAAAAAAACACTAAAACAGATGTAAAACCTACAATATGCTCATACAAGTTACAATTTTAAACATGCAAGAATACGTGGAAGGTCAGCTAGTTTAGTTGGTAAAGTCCTAGGAGGTACGGGTTAACCCAAGACCTCGGATCAAATCCCGTCTATACCACGGTCCAAACATTACTTGTCCCACACAAACCCACGACAAATTCACATAATTATTCAAATAAACAGGCTTCAATACCAGAAAGATATAAATTCTGAAAAACCCAGAAAGCAAAGATTTAAACAATTAAACTAAAACGTACCTGATCCAATCAAACTCCAAGAATTTGATTACAACCCAGTTGAGGAAATGAAATTTAATAAAAAGGGTTAATCTTTGATGAAGTCAAAGCCTAAAAATTGAATTAAAAAATTCCAAATTTGATGGAAAGAAGACCCCTTTTGACCAAAGTTGAAAAAGAAAAAATATATATGAACAGAACCCTAAATGAGGAAAGAAGATGATGAAATTCCAGAGGAGAGTCTAGAGTGAATGACAAATTTTTAGGGGTTTTATATTTCAGGTACAAATGTTCTTGAAAGCAAAGAAAAACTAAAAATAAATTAGAAAATAAATGTTGCTGTTTTGACGAGGAAACCAATATGAATTATAAGCATGTGGATCATTTCCAACAATTAATATTATTATTTATTTTTTAGGAAATGGAGTATTTATTTTTAAATAAAGTTTCCCACCAGTTTAATTGGAGGGTTGAAAAATGAAAGTCATTGAAAGAAGAACAAAGTTTGATTTTAATTTTGCTTTTAGGAAGGTGTGTTTTGGCTTTTCTTTAATTATGGAAATTAATTGTGAAAGGTCCCACCATCTAGGAAGCCCATCAACACAAGCAGCCACTTTCAAGTGGGGGGTGTGATGTATGAAAGATTAAGTTTCAACAAGAGGATGGAGTATGTAGTAGTCATATTTGTAGCTCCATTAGAAGTGCCTTGTGTCGAGTTTTGTTTTAGCGAATTTGTCATCCACCCCATCCAGGGATGGCAGTGGATCTGGAACCGACCCGGATCCGTGGATCCAGATCCGTTTTTTACAGATTTGAGTCTTCAAATTTTAATCCCATCAGATCTAGGTCTCGCTGATAAAAGCGGATATGGATTCGATTTTGGCCCCTAGACCCGGATTCAAATCTGTTTTCCCGTTTTAAAATTTTTCTGTTAAAAGAACTAAAATTGTTTTTTTTTTTATTAAAAATGTTGATGACGTTATTAGTGATAAAGATTAACCCTTGAAGAGGCTCATATCAACATCATCATTGTTCTTTCACTTGCTCATTTGTAACATCGTACTTTTTTCGTTGTTTATAATTTTTATTTCAAATTATAAGTGTATAAGTTGTTACTTTGTGTTTTTAGATTAGTTGTATAACTTTAATTTAGGTTGAACTTATAACTCCGACGGAAGTTTGAAATGTATTTTTTAACCCTAACATTACATTTATTACAAAAAAAAAATTAGGCAAAATATGTTAGAACCGTTTTAGACCCGGATCCGTTGGGACCCGTCGGATCTAGATCCGGGTCTCCATTTTTCAGACTCGATGGATCCGAGTCGAATCGGGATCCTAAATACAATAACGGATCTGAATCCGGACCCGATCCGGATCTGACCCGTTACCATTCCCAGCCGGTGCGCTTCATACTAACCTAGGTTTTTTTTGGCATATTGTTTAGTTTCATGAGTAAGTTGGTAGTTGTTACTACCTTTGTTCTTAAAATTTTGCCCCATTGCAAAAATTTGGATCAATTTTTATAAACTTTGACCATAAAATACTCTTAATCTATAAGTGATAATATAGTCATGTGAGATCTTGTTGGATGCGTCTCATTGTACATTTTATTGATATTTAGTTTTTATAATTTTTACACGTGTGAAAATGGAGATATAACCGTTTTAAAACGCTTGTTGAAGATCGCAAAAAGTCAACAAAGGGAGTATAACTTATAAGTAATCTTCAAATGGTATGAGTCTTAGGGCTTGTTTACATTTACTTAATTTTAGTTCAGTTCAGTTCAGGTCCAATCAGTTCAATTCAGCTCCTAATTTCATTCTCTCATAAAATATTCATTTCAGCTCAATTCAGTTCAGTTCAGTTCAGCTCCAATCAGTTCAGTTCAAATCAGTAAATGTGAACAGGCCCTTAGAGTGGGAAAAAAATCTCAAGAAAAAATCTTGAATGTATTTATTAACCTGTGTGTGTTATATGTAATTATGATGTTTTGGGCCTATAGAATTGGGCTTGAAATGCACATGGTTAATTTTATTTTTTGGTGTTACACCCGGTTTACCCTTTGGGCTAATCCGAAATTGGAGATCAGTTCTGTGTGGTTAAATTCCAGTCCCCTCTCAATTATTGTTGCAGGGGATGGATCGAAAACAGTTACACAGGTCCTTCTTACCAAGTGTAATTTCAATCACCACTACACCAACAATCAATTAATAATGCGCATGGTTATTTAAATAGGAATAACATTGTCGATTGATTTGCAATATTTATTTGGATTTTTTTGTAAATTACCACCCTAAAATTTAATGTGTTGAAATAACCACCATTTTTGTTGAAATTAAAAATAACCACCCATATTTTACAAAACTGTAGGTTTTACCACCCTTACCTATACTCCGGCTATTTTTCTGAACATGTGCCATTCAATTTCATTATGAAGAACCCTAATTTTCAATTCAAGTTAAATTGAATGAATCAAACAACGATTACATCATTAAATTCCTAATAAAACACATTCCAAACAAAAAATATCGTATAACTTGAATTCTACTTTATTAAACATTGCAAAATAACTAAAAAAATAAAAATAAAGTGCGATCTTCAATTACTTTGATGTATAAATTGGTGTGAAAAAATTTAAGTGCGTTCTTCAAATGATTCGCTTGTCAATTTGCAAAACTTGGAGTAAAAATTGGTAGAATTTGTGGATTAAATGAAGGATTTTAAGTTTGGGAGTAGTTTGTGAACCAAGGGAGGAAATAAATCGAGAAATAACTTTTATAAAAATAAAATACAGCCGTTATGTGGGGCCCATGCTCGAAAAACTGGTCGGAATATAGTTCGGGTGGTAAAACCTACATTTTTTGTAAAATATGGGTGGTTATTTTTAATTTCAAAAAAAATGGGTGGTTATTTCAATACATGGTACATTTTGGGGTGGTAATTTTCAAAAAATCCTATTTATTTTTAACTTTTTTAGAACGAAATTAAACTGTAAAGTTCCGCAGAGAAGTCCAAAAGAACAATACCTTAGTTATCAAAAAGTTAAAATACCAAAAGTTGTTATTTTGAAAATGCGATAGAAATTAAACTAACAAGATTACAAATAACCATGTTTCTACTTGTATATTCCGTTTTAATTACAAAAATAGGCAAAGTAGAGATTTTTTTTTTTACATAGTCAAAGTATAGTTTGTAAATATATTGTTAAAAGTTAAATTTTGTCAACTAAGTCCCTGTTCTTTTCACCTTAAAAAAATAATATTAAGTAAAAATAATTTCAGTTCAGTAAAAATAAGTTCACTTCAGTAAAATTAATTTCAGTTCAGTAAAAATAAGTTCAGTTCAGTAAAATTCAGTCTTCTTAAAGAAGAATTATAATAGAAAATCAGTAAAAATAATTTCAGTTTAGTAAAATTAAGTTCAATTCAGTAAAAATAAGTTCAGTTCAGTAAAAATAATTTTAGTTCAGCAAAATTAAGGTGAATCAAATAGGGTCTAAATCAAAATTGAGGAAATAGATAACTTCATATAACATAGAATATATGTGTTTAGTTACAAACTAGATTAAACCCCGTGCAATGCACGGTTGTTAAATAATTCTAATGACAATAAATTTTACCTAAAATAATGGATATAAATATTATAAATAGACTTAGTAGTAAAAAGTATGAAATATTGTTTAAGAAATTAATTAAACATATAATAGTTATAATGGGCAATTTGTTTTGTAAGGACATTTATTTTAGATTTTATACAAACTAAAAGTCATAATTTAATTACAATAAGTTTTTTTTAGTAAGTGGTTTTGGAGGGAAAACTTTTTATAATATTTTGCCAAGTGTTCTCTAAGTTTCGCCTTTAGTATAATATAATTGATTGATTGATGGATGGAAATAAAACTCTCATTCCATCCCCAATTCCCCCATATGTAACAAATTTGGAAAGGAAAAAGTGGATTGTGACGGGTTTGTCTATCAAATTCAATAGTCGTAAGAAACAAGATGTTTCCATACTTTCATCAATCATACTCCAATTTCCATTCCCAAGCTCCCAAATTGCTACACGTATTAGGTGAACATCCTTTCAAATCTATCTTGAGGAGTTGAAGCATATTCCAACAATTTATTCCATCTATATCCATTACTTGTAAGAACATTTTAATTTTCTCAAAAAAGTATATAGGATTGGAACTTGACTATACTTTAACCCTCACGATATTTATAGTCCAGTATTTACGAGTCAACCCTTAAAACTAAGGGGGAAGCACGAGGGATCCTCATCCCCAAGTAGGGCAGTTGGAAAGATTTGACTTTGTGACCTCAAGGTAGAGCTGTCAATTCAGATAAACGGGTCGGGTTAGAGTGGATTGGGTTAATTCAGATTAATTCCATAACCTATACGGGTCGGTTTTGAGTTGGGTCATGCTTGAATCAGGTCACGTCGGGTCATACTTCTTATCGCGTTTTGGTCAAGTTAATAACAGGTCGGGTTACATTCACGTCAGGTGAACAATAATTCAGGTTTAATTCGGGTTTTCACGGGTTAAAACGGGTTAGTGTAATTCTCGGATTCGGTTCAAGTCAATAATTTGCGGGTTAGAATCAGGTCGGGTCATTCTCGGGTTTGAGTAGGGTTCGATTCAAGTCAATAATTTGCGGGTTATAATCAGGTCGGGTCATTTTCAAGTCGGGTTTGGTTAGTTCAAGTCAATAATTTGCGGGTTATAATCAGGTTTGGTCATTTTCAAGTCGGGTCATTCTCGGATTCAAGTCGAGTTATGTTCAAGTCAATAATTTGCAGGTTACAATCAGGTCGGTTCATTTCCAAGTCAGGTCATATTCGGGTTCAACTAACTATAAATAGATAATTATAATTTTTATCAAGGTAATTATTTCCTTTAACTATAATATATATGGAAATATACTAGGGAACTATAGTCTATAATTTAGGAAAATAATTATCTCTTATGACTGTACAACAAATATATACTATATTTAACTCTTAAATTTGAGGATGATGATCCTTTCTTTTGCTGGCCTGGACCGACTTGGTATCCCTAAACATAATACTTTGATCAGCAATAATAAGGTGGTCTAAATTGCATTTAAGGTGAATTGAAATCGGGTCGGGAACAATTTGGGTTGAATTTAGGTCGGGTCAATAAAAAGTCGTGTTGATTTCGAGTCGGGTTAGTAACAGATCGGGTTAAATTTTTGGGTTGGGTAAGTAATAGGTATGGTAAAATTCGAGTCGGGTCAATAACAAGTCGAGTTGAATTTGGGTTAGGTCAATAACAAGTCGGGTTGATTTCGGGTTGGGTTTGTAACATGTTGAGTTACATTCAGGTCGGGTTAGGAACAAGTCGGGTTAAATTCAGGTTGGGTTTGTAACAAGTTGGGTTTAATTCGGGTTTTGACGGGTTGAAACAGGTTTGGGTCAATTTCGGTTAAAGTCGGGTTCGCTGCGAGTTAATTAAATTGGCCATTGTAAATCGGTAAATCGGTGCAAGTTGTAAACCGGTAAATTAGCCGTTTAAAAGGAAATTGAATGGTTCCACACACCCCATTGGACTCCCAGAGAGTATTAGGGATTTAGGGACCATGGTAAATATTTCGGCAATTTTTATTTCCGGACGAAAAAAAGTCAAAAAATTCCAAAATTGAAGGCTAATATCCACGCTTTTCGAGAAATTTTGGAGGTTTCGAGGTCCGGTGTCGAAAAGTCTTGAAATTCTATAGGATACATCTTGGGGTCATATAATGTCGTTTGGAACCATATATGATCTTTATTTGTTCATAAATGTTCGTGGTAGGCTTGAATTAATGAAATAGGTGCAAGATGAAAACAGATAATTTGGTCGTTTAAAGGCAAATTGGATGGTTCCACCCACCCAATCGGCTCCCGGAGGATATTAGGGACCATGGTAAACATTTCGGCAATTTTTATTTCGGGCCGAAAAAAAAATCAAAAATTTTCAAAATTGAAGGCTAGTTCCACGCTTTTTTAGAAATTTTGGAAGTTTCGGGCCCATTGTCGAAAAGCCTTAAGATTTTAGGGGATACATCTCGAGGTCATATAATGCCTTTTGGAACCATATATGATCATTATATGTTGTCATAAATGTTCGTGGTAGACTTGAGTTAATGAAATCGTTGCAAGTTGTAAACCGGTAAATTGGTCGTTTAAAGGCAAGTTGGATGGTTTCACCCATCTAATTGGACTACCGGAGGGTATTAGGGACCACTGTAAAAATTTCGACAATTTTTATTTACGGACGAAAAAAATTTTAAAAATTCCAAAATTGAAGGCTAATATCCATGTTTTTTTAGAAATTTTGGAGGTTTCGGGAACCGGTGTCGAAAAAATTTAAGATTTTAGGGAATATATCTCGGGATCATATAATGTCGTTTGGAACCATTTATGATCATTATTTGTTGTCTTAAATGCTCGTGGTAGGCTTGAGTAAATGAAATCGGTGGAAGTTGTAAACCGGTAAATTGGCCGTTTATAAGCAAATTGGTGGTTCCACCCACCCAATTGTACTACCAGAGTGTATTCGGGACCATGGTAAACATTTCGGCAATTTTTATTTTCTGGCGAAAAAAAAAAGTTAAAAAATTCCAAAATTTTTGTGAAATTATTTATGTTTCAGGGTCCGATGTCAAAAAGCTTTGAGATTTTAGGGGATACATCTCGAGGTCATATAATATTGTTTAAAACCATATATGATCATTATATGTTGTCATAAATATTCGTCGTAGGCTTGAATTAATAAAACCAGTGCAAGATGTAAATCGGTAAATTGGCCGTCTAAAGGCAAATTGGATGGTTCCACACTACTTTCACCCAACCAATTGGACTCCCGGAGGGTATTAGGGACCAGGGTAAACATTTTGGTGATTTTTATATCCGAGCAAAAAAAGTCAAAAAATTCCAAAATTGAAGGCTAATATCCACGCATTTTGCGAAATTTTGGAGGTTTCGGGACTCGGTGTCGAAAAGTCTTGAAATTCCAAGGAATACATCGGTGTCATATTATGTCGGGAACCATATATATATGATTATTATGTGTTGTCATAAATGTTCATGGTAGGCTTGAATTAATGAAATCACTACAAGTTGTAAATCGGTAAATTTGTCGTTTAAAGGCAAATTGGATTTTTCCACCCACCCAATGGGACTCCCAAAGGGTATTAGGGACTATGGTAAATATTTCGTCAATTTTTATTTTCGGACAATAAAAAAATTAAAAAAAAAAATCAAAATGGAAGGCTAATATCCATGTTTTTTGAGAAATTTTGGAGGTTTCGGACCCGTTGTCGAAAATTCTTAAGATTTTAGGGGATACATCTCGGGGTCATATATTTTCGTTTGGAACCATATATGATCATTATTTAGGCTTGAGTTAATGAAATCAGTGCAAGTTGTAAACTGGTAAATTGGTCGTTTAAAGGCAAATTGGATGGTTCCACCCATCCAATTGGACTTTCGGAGGGTATTAGGAACCATGGTTAACATTCCGACAATATTTATTTACGGTGAAAAAAAGTAAAAAAAATCTAAAATTAAAGGCTTATATGATATCCACGTTTTTTGAGAAATTTTGGAGGTTTCGGATAGAGCTGTCAATTTAGGTAAATGGGTCGGGTTTGGGTCGGTAAGAGTGGGTCAGGTCAACTTGGGTCAGGTCAATTTGGATTACTTTCATAACCTATGCAAGTCGAGTTTGGGTTGGTCATGCTTGAGTCGTGTCACGTCAGGTCATACTTCTTATCGGGTTTAGGTCGGGCTTAGGTAGGGTTACATTCGAGTCGGGTGAACAATATGTCGGGTTTAATTTGGGTTTTCACGGGTTAGGGTAATTCTCGGGTTTGCGCGAGTCGGGTTTGGTTCAAGTCAATAATTTGCGGGTTAGAATCAAGTCGGGTCATTCTCGGATTTGAGTCGGGTTCGGTTCAAGTCAATAATTTGCGGGTTATAATCAGGTCAAGTCATTTTCAAGTCGAGTCATTCTCAGGTTCAAGTCGGGTTCAGTTCAAGTCAATAATTTGAGGGTTATAATCAGGTTGGGTCATTTCCAAGTCGGGTCATTCTCGGATTCAAGTTGAGTTATATTCAAGTCAATAATTTGCAGGTTACAATCCGGTCGGATCAGTTCCAAGTCAGGTCATATTCGGGTTAACCTAACTATAAATAGATAATTATCATTTTAATCAAGCTAATTATTTCCTTTGACTAAAATATATATGGCAATATACTAGGGAACTATAGTCTATAATTTAGGAAGATAATTATCTCCTATGACCGTACAACAAATATATACTATATTTAACTCTTAAATTTGAGGATGATGGTCCTTTCTTTTGCTGGCCTGGACCGACTTGGTTTCCTTAGACAAAATGCTTTGATCGGCAATAATAAGGTGGTCTAAATTGCATTTAAGCTGATTTGAAATCGAGTTGGAAACAATTTGGGTTGAATTTAGGTCGGGTCAATAACAAGTCGTGTTGATTTCGAGTCGGGTTAGTAATAGATCGGGTTGAGTTTTTGGGTCGGGTTAGTAATAGGTCAGGTAAAATTCGGGTCGGGTCATTAAAAAGTCGGGTTAAATTTGAGTCAGGTCAATAACAAGTCGAGTTGATTTCGGGTCGGGTTTGTAACAAGTTGGGTTAATTCGAGTCGAGTTAAGAACGGGTCGGGTTATATTCAGGTCAGGTTAGTAACAAGTCGGGTTAAATTCGGGTTTTGACGGGTTAAAACGGGTTTGGGTCAATTTCGGTTCAAGTCTGATTCGGTTCAGGTTAATAATTTACGGATTACATTCGAGTCGGATCATCTCCAGGTCATGTTTGTGTTCGGGTCTCACATACTCGGGTCTAGGGTTGGTTTCAAGTCGGGTCAGGTCGGGTTTGGGTCACCATTTTTTCGGGTTTAGATGGATCGGTTAATAATCGGGTTTCAGTCTGTATTTCGGGTCGGGTCAACTTTTGACAGCTCTACCTTAAGGTTACAAAAGTGAATTTCTTACCAACTATACCAAGGGCCTGATCTCATTGACTGAAATGGGCTGAAATGATCTGAACTTATTAGAGTTGAACTGAATTAAACTTAACTTATTAGAGCTGAGCTGAAGTGGATCTGAAGAACAGGGCCCAAGCCTTGGTTGGTACTCAATATTTATATTCGACAATTTCATGCTTCATAAATCTAGTGGCATTGTTGTATAATACGTGTACTGTACTTTATATATGCATGGTCCATTGTTCCCTGCATTTATGCAGTAGCATACTCTTGCGTTGATCTAACGAGTGGAATAACTTTATATCACACGGTTTTGTTATTTTTTTTTTCCTTTCAAGACCTTACTAAGAAAAATAAAAAGGAAATAAAAATACTGCTCGCGAGTAGAGTATATTAAGTTTTAAGGAAAATAATGTTCTTCATACAAGTACACCATTTAGTGTATCCAGCATTGGACAGAAGTCGCGGAACATACAATAATAGCTAAAAATGTAGTAACTCTTACGGGGCGTTTGGCAAGTGGGAATGCGAATTTGGAGATTATAGGATGGGAATGGGAATGGGAGTTAGAAGGTGGGAATTCATATAATATGTCCAAAGTATTGTTTGGAAAGAGATGGAATAGATGGGAAATAACATTTTACAATTACGAAAACACCCTTGTAAAAATTATTCCATTCTATTTCATTAATGGCATTTTAGTCAATTCATTACTTATTTCCAATTCCCATCTCTATTACCTACTCCCCCTAGGTAATAGAATGATGGGAATAGAAATATTTTATTCCCATTCCCCTTCCTCTTTATTTTCCCATTCCCATGAACCAAACATGGGAATTACCGTAGGTTGGGATTAATATTCCCAATCCCACCCTCAATTCCCACTTGCCAAACGCCCTCTTAAGGGAAGGAAGAAAAGCTCTAGACAACATTTTGTTATATACGAGTAATGTAAAGAGCGGAAAGGGTACTAGAATGAGCAGAAACACCCAGTAAAATACCTACGACTCTACGAGTAGTACAACAACCTGGAAGCTACACGGCCTACACCAGTACGACGTACATTGTACACTTAACTGCTGTACAGAAACATTGAACATTATGCCATTTTACAAGTAAGTTTACTGGAGCGAGTAATCAGCCACCCCTATCAATCAAAGCTCTCAGATCAGATGCACACAGCAAGAAGATAGCAGCGACGGACAGTTAGCACGAACATGGCAAGTGCATAGGTTGTTTAAAGAGGTCAACCTAATAAAAAATAACAGTGAATGAGTTGTATGATCACTCTATAATCTAAACAGTTAAGAAAAGCACCAAAAAGGCGGTTAGGAATAACAGAAATAGCAGTGTGTAAAAAAAAAATTCCCAACTTTGAGAGGCATCATTATCATATACTATAAACTTTAAAGAGTATAAAGAAACTTTTCAATTTTCATAAGCAATTCCATAGCAATCTTCGTCGATTAAAGAGATCAAAATACAACTATACTTCAGTAACATATTTTCACAAATGCATTTTAATGAAGACGAATAAATTAACTAAAAACATTTCTCCAAATCAGCCAGAAATTAAATAAACAAATTCTGCATTTATCATCTGAATAAGATATTAACAGAATTCTATGTGAGTTTACCAACCTCACACAGGAATTGGAGATGAAACATGGGATAAAAAAAGCATATATTATTTCATTTGAGTAGAAAGTTTACCATAATCAATCATCAGACTTTTTACAGGTGGAGCCAGAGCAGCAAATCATCAGCCCTTACCAATCAGACTCCTCAGTTGCACACAACAGTATGATAGCAGTGACAGACAGACAGATATTTAGCACGAACATGGCATGTGCATAGGTTAAAGAGGTTGGCGATTCAACAGTAACAGTGAGTGAGTTGTATCACTTGTATGATCACTCTACAATCAGAACAGTTAAGGGAAGCACCAAAGAAGGTTCATGGTTCATGAGCCAGTAGTAATATCAGAAATTGCAGTCAACAGATTGTACTCTCGCTCCAATGCCCATGAGGACTCGTTCTTATGGTTGATATTGAATATGTATTCCCAGAAGTATCCATCATAAGTAACAACAGAAACAGTGGCCCTGCCATGTCAAAAAGATATGAAAGTGAGGAAGAGAAATAGAGAATAGCTTTAGAAAGATATTCATCACACCAAAATGTTGTATATTTCAGCCAAGATCTTTTAAAGTCTACTACCAAAAATTGAGGTTTATTTGGTAGGGAATGTAGCAATCCTCAAGTTCCACGAAGCTGTAAGTTGTTACTCCGTATATTACAGAAATCAGAACTTCATCCACAGCCATAACTTGAGACTAAAAGTATGGTTATAGAGAAACAGACAGGAGGTCAATTTTAAAGATTTGACTCATCTAACTCACCTGAAACGGCATGTTCCAGAGCCAGAAGAATCGGAAATCTTCTCCAATTTGCGTATTACAGCATAACTGCAAAATACACTAACTTGAGAATAATTTCATACAGGAAATAGAATAACTTGTAATGCATGCAGAACATCCATGAATGGAGGAATTAAAGATGTAAATAACAAGTCAACAAATTGTTCAGGTTTTAAGATGAATGTTAATTTCTAACTTGTACCCAGAAAACATGCCTATTCTAATTAAGCAATGTTGTGGCCTGACATTCCATGATTCAAGAAATAGGCTTTGCCAACACAAATTTAGTTCATCTCCTTTCAGCCTGATCCCATACAATCTGAAAATTGGGTAAGTCATATGACTCAAGCAACTATTTGAAACCTTGTTATGCCCTTCAAATGTTAAAAGTGAAAAGCAGATTTCTCTTGCTCTTTTGATTCAAGCTCAATATAAACAACTAGTTTCTTGACTAATGATTGCCATCCTTTTTGCTAATAGGTTTTTTTGCTATATCCTTAAATGTGATTCAATCAGAGCAACGTGCTTATGAACTGAGTGCTAGGACAATTTTGAGATTAAGTAAATTACAATATAAGTAGCTTATAAATATTCAAAAAGGAGTGATGAGAATTAAAGGTATTCACACACTTTACAATTACCGGACACATGTTAGTCTATTTAGTGTTGTTATCTCTTCCAAACACCCACATTCAAGATTCTTCCAACACCAAACTGATCTAATAAATTACCTAAGACATAAATACATTGCACAAAAAAATAAAACAATTAATACAGCAGATAAACAAAACAATATACCAGAATATGGTCACACTAAATGTTCACCTTTTGACTCCTTCAACAACTGCGTTGTGAAGAACATGATGATGAGCTGGATCCAAAATTGAGCTAGGAATCATTCCACCAATAAAACTACTTGAATTTCTACCCCTGAATACAGCAAACATCAAATCAAAAATAGGATAGTCTATATTAAAGCCACATACAGGAACATCCAGTAAAATAAATCATAATATAATGCTTCGTACTTTGTAACGGAACAAAATATTAGTAATGTAGAAATGAGGAAGAAGAGAATTTGGGGGAAATTTGATAGTTGATTATTATTTAATGCAATTAAATTATCGAATGGGATTTATTATCCCAGTTTCTTGAGTGGTTGGATACTCCCTTCCTTGGAGACAAACTGATGCAAAATCAAATTTACTCAGCAATTTTCTAATTACATTTCCTCTCACTGATCTCCTCTTATATAGATATTTTCTGACTTTCTTCCCTTGCTCGCCTTTTAACACCTTCCTCACCAAGCTAATCCTACCAACTATTTTTTTCATACCAATAGAACTCCTCTCTCTAAACTAGTAGTCTTTTACATAAGCTGAACCGTAAATTTAACTTAGACATCAAAAAGCTCCTTTCACCCTTCTTCCACCCCCTCCAAGACACACAAAAACAAGTGCCTGTGCACATAGGGAATCGAGGAAAAGAACCCTAATGCGGAGTACAAGGGTATAAGGAGGACAAATTGGGGGAAATGAAAGAAATTCAGTGCTAACATGTTACATTTGTTCTCCAGAATGACATCATTTAGTAAATGAGGCTACCCTAGTGGACTACATAATATTGCAAGTTTTTCTGATTGTGTTCACCCTAAAGAGAAGTCAATAAGATGCAAAGCACCATACAAGCTGTACAAAATTCATAGCAGACAGAACAGTAGATACAACTCAAAGACTACAAAAGCACTAAGTGACCTTTAAACAAAGCCTACATTCAGGAGGATGAAATACTTGGGTTTCAATAACATAAAAATTATGTCAACGCCACAACGGTGACCAAAACATTGTAATGTGGTAAAAACTGTCCAAACATCTGCAACACCAATGATTGAGCAATAGAAAACTCTAGAATTTGGATAGAGCTGTCACTAGAATAAAAATATAGACACCAATTGAAAAGCAAAACAGTTTGAGCACTGAAAACAAAGAAATGATGTTAAGCAACAAAAGAATAAAAAGTCATTTCAATCTACCTTTGATTAGAGGCAGCTCCAAGTATGAATAAGTGAAGAGAGCCAGAGGAACTTATGGCGGCAAGAAATTTAGGGAGCTGCATAAATGAACCAAAGGACAAGGAGAAAATTGTGGATGGATAGGCTCCCCTACGAAAACTGAAACACTGACAAAAATAAATTAGGTTAGGCAAAAAGATATATTTTGAGTATTATCTGAAAATTTGAAAGAGGAAAATTTAAGTAGATAGAAAAGATGGAATATTTAAGAAGGATGGACTAATCAAAGTCAGATTTCGGCAAGGATGAACTTCAAGAGTATCTCAGAAACTATAGATATAGTTTTGGATCTAACACAATAAGCTGCTAAAGTATTTTGCCTACTAAGAAGGGGAGGCTGCATGCAACATTAGATTGTAATGATACCATTTGTAATGAACCAGCATACAGATGATTGTAAAGAGATAGAAAGTGATATTGATTATGAAAGCTGTAAGTACAATAAGTTAAAGATAATTTTCAGGTATTCGAGACTTGACCCTCTCCCAAAGCTAACAAAATAAAAATTGAAATATTCTGGATGCCTTTTCTCTATGCCTACTCTCCTTTATTTATTCTAAATCTAATGACTACTACCAATATAATATTATGCTACTCATAATGCCCCTTCTCTAGGTGGCTCATTACAGCTAAAATCACCACCAAAGAGTATTCACAACCCAACAGCAATGGTAAGGTACAACAGAGGTGCAGCAGTTACTTAATCAGAAAGGAAAAATCTATACAGCCTGCTTCAAGTTTGTCAAGAAGTATAAAGATGTCACCATATAAGAGAGGGTGAATTGTGGCCTACTAGTTTTCAAAGAATGGATAACATTTACAACTCCTCTAAATGCTAATGTAAGATAATCCCAACTCCCACCAATCGACACACATTACTTTAAAGGGAGGACAATGGATGGTCTAGATAAATTTGGTAACAAGGTACACAGTGATAATATTAAAAAGCACAATGTTGAATTAAAATCATATTGAAGTGCAAATGTGCAAATATTATAATTCACGAGGGCAATATTGCTCATAACAAGCAACAATATTACAGGCTACTGTCCCTTGTAATTTAGTATGCATGTAAACGTATTGTAGATATAACATCCTAGAATAATATTTATACAACAGAGCCTTTGTTTATTACATTCTCTTAATGAGTACTTCCATGCATGTGACAGCCATATGACATGAATTGGCAAAGATAAGGACCTTTTTCCAAAAATGATCCTTGAAAATAGATAAAGTTACCTTAGTTCCTTCAGGTACTGTATGTACTCTAACCATGGTTCCTTGCTCTGATGCTGTCGCTAGGTATGTTCCATCAGAAGAAAAGACCATTGCAGCCAAGGGTGAAAGATGAGCATCTATCTGTAACAAACGATATCTTAATTAGAACAAAACCAAAGATTAAAACTTCACAACAGCTCGCTAACATAAATTTATGTTCTATTTTTAGTCTACTATTCTACATCATTATGAAAGAAGACATACAATAGACAGAAGCAGCCACACAAGGAAAGCAAGTCTAGAAGCTATATTGCACCATTGAAACTAATCAATTTAGATGCAATCAATGTCTAATCATATTTTAAAGAGGGATCTCAGCTCACCCATGTGTACATTCTTGTGGATTTCTCAACCAAACATTCTACTCAACAAGGAAAAAAATAGCTGAGAAAGAAAATTTCATAGGGTCCCATCAGCCTTTCCCCAAATGAGTGGAAGAAAGTAGTCAGAACAAGTCAAGAAGATTTATAAAAAGCAAATGCCAACTATGGGCAGGAAATGTTGGAATCCTATTACGTTGGTGATGCTGGTAAATGGCTGAAAAATAGTCCTACACTTAAACTACACAATTACTTAAATCTTCTTCATAAGACCAATCTTGAGATATTGCACAGATATATCTAAATGCATATTGTGTAATTTTGGGGGAGGAGGGGATAATATTGAATTCACAAAAAGTTGATACTCTAAATGAAAACTCTTCACAGTGAGGTTAACTTTTAAGCAGGAATTTGCAGTACTAGAGTTTAGTTTGTTATAGATATGTTAGGTATTTCACATTATTGGGATAATGACTTTAGAAGCCAGAGTAGGAATAGGAAGACATAAAGCAATGCTCATAGCGGATAAGGATGTGATGCTTGTTCAAATTTTCCTTATACCTTTTCTTTTATTGCCTTTTTTCAAGAGGAGAAAGTCTAATGAGCAACAGAATTCAAGAGCTTTATGTAGCCTGTTCTATCATAATAGAATATTTTATTTTTTTTAGAAGTTATCATAATAGAATAAATATAAGGAGAATAATGATAATCAAGGCTATCGTTGGACTTCCGTAAATCTTCCCAATTTTACATAAAACACAAACAAATCTCAGCTTTGAGGGGCATCATTATCATTCAAAATAGTAGAAGTGTATAGACAAGGTTTTCATAAGCAATTCCATTACAATCTTCACCTCAGTCAGTTGGAGAAGTCAAAATACACCTATACTTCAGTCAGGTATCTTCACAAATGCATTTTAGTAAAGACGAAGAAAGTTAACATGCTGGACAAAGATCATGTATATTTTAAAAAAAAAAAAATTCTTCCAAATGAGCCAGCAATTAAATAAGCAAATTCTCCATTTCAGACAGAAAAATTTATGTGAATTTACCAACCTCACACAGGGATTGGAGCTCCATAACATCGTAAACTAGCATGGATCCTTTGGTTGTACTTGCCGGAAGAGCCAAGAAGCAAGCATCCAAGATATGGGAGAATGCGGAAAGGCCTAAAATGAGAGAGTTCAAATATTAGACTGCATGATAAACTCTGAAAAGTTCTATTGTAACACACAGAAACCCTTTTCAAATGAAAAGGAAAATGAAAACACTAGGTCACAAAACTAGGCAAGTCAGTGTACTTCGTCTTGTACTTTGATCGCTTCCAAATATCAACAAATTTGACAATCTACTTAGTTTGCGGAACCAGAAAGGGTTATCTTTGAGTGACATTATTAAACCATTTTCAGAAAGATATACTCCCCCATTCCTAAGATACTTGCAACACTCGTTTTGTTTGTCTGCTTCCTGCATCACTTCCTATTTTGGCATGGGACTACTATTAATTTATTGTCTCTCTCTCTCACAAACACTACTTATGTTAACTTCATATTGTTTTTGTCTCATGAAAACAAAAAAAATACCCCATTTACTCCACTCGTATATTAGTTTATTCATTTCCATGTACTACCCACAAGCCTTCCAAAAACTACGCGCAAATAAAGTGTCGTGAGTTAAATTCACCCTTTATTGGCCATTGACATAACCTAGCCAAATTGGAGGTAAAAAATAAAATAAAGTGATAGAGATTATTGAAAAGATAATCTTGTCATAGGTTCCGGATATATTTTGTGAATATTGTATTCTTATCTATCTTGTGTAACCCTTGTATCCCTATATATTTGATCAATGGAATACAATCCAATTAAGCTAAGGAGTTTTCTCATAATCTAGCATGCTATCAAAGCTTAGGTTCTAGGATAAATTTTTTCCTTCTGTTCTAGGGCTAAAATATGAAAAGAGATGGCTACCCACCACAGGCAAAGGATATTAAACAAAACATAGATAAAATGAATAGCCAAGGTAACTGTTCACATTTGTTTCAAAAAAAAAAAAAAAGAAAAAAAAAGGTAACTGTTCACATTTTGGCTAAGGTCTTTTTTTGTTTCTTTACTACCTCTCTCCCAAAATATTTACCAAATTAAAATTTACAACTAAAAATATTGTGAGCTTGAATTTATATTGAAGGGATCTAATAGTTTATATTGTTTTGGGGAAAAGGGGATAAAAACGTTTTCATGGAAACCTCTATATTTTAAGATGTTGCCTACGTTAAACGCTTTTGGTCGATAGTGTCTCTTCAGCTTAATGCTAAGAGTTCTATGCAATATCCTTACTTAGAGAATCCCAGCATGCTTGTGAGAGACACATATTGGGTTAATCATATCATATCACATTACATTTTACTGCATATTTAAGACAAACTATGGATCTTTAATAGCAATAAATCAGAAATAGATCATCAGATCAATTACCTTTTGGATTTGGCACAGTATCAAGCACACTTAAAATCGCAAGACTATTGATATCATATATGAACACTTTGTCTTGCAATAGAACAATCAATCTGCAGTATATGATACATAAGCAAAAGAATGATGAGTACAGAACACTGGATTTTAGCATTGATAAGTCTTTCAATGGTTACTGGAATAAACAATAAAGATAAAAGGTGTGCAGTTTTGGCTACATATACAAGTAATGGATTCATTGGCCTCCAAGGTACAATAGAGTTAGATTAGTAGGGAACACATGAAACTTCCAGCAAACAACAAAAACAAGGGAATGTTAAGGAACTAAAGGGTCAAAGAGCCAAAAGATAAGGGCGTATAGAACCTGAACAATTGTAATAGGAATTACTGAAGTAGTCTATATATCAACATTACCCTAATGCCACTACATAAATTCTACAGGACCAAATGGCACAATAACCCAAGACAGAAGCACACCAACATAATCTGTTGGACATAGTCTTCCTTAACATACATTTAGGGGAAAAGAAACAGTCATGAAAAATTAATTAAAAAAAAATTATTCAGTTGATGGGTTTCTCATCACACATGCCAACTAATACACGCACAAACAAATATCGGCTTTCAAAATTGCAATTAGCTCCCAGTCCTTAGTCCTTTATGGTAGCTGCAATTATTTTTAAAGGCAACTTGAGCTCTAAATCAAAATAAGTGTGTATATGTTGGATAAGTGATAAACTTAAAATTACTCATCATCTTTGCAAAGTTCTAAATCTTGCATCCATAGCCTTTGAGAGGGAGGAGATGGAAGAAAAGGAAATTGTCACCCAAATTTCAAAAGAGTTAAAGTTTAGAAAAAGTTTAGGTTACTCACCTAAGTTTATTTAAACGAATAGCAAGAACTGAAGTCAAGAAGTTTAGTTCTTGAAGAGGAGCTCCAGTTGTAGTATTAAACAAACAAAGGCGGCGTGGAGATAGAGCTCGCTGAGTGCACACGAAGGAAACAAATGAACTAACTAATTAGAATTATATAAAGCAGCTAGCAGAGTGGCAGACTGATAGGTCAATAACTTAGTAAAAGAGCTAAAATCATCTGTGTCGAAATTCAATGGAAATAACCTGTTCGCCAGCTCCAACAATGGCAAGAAGACTCGAACTGAATCGCATTTCAACAATGCTGAAAGCACCCATATCTAAAATATAGAAACAAGATCTCTTAAGACTAGAGCTAAGCTAACATTTCATAATCAACAGACATAAACCTTTCCTAAATCAACCCTCTAACATCAATACATCTGAACCTTTCACCCCAAAACTAACATTAATAAGCTAAAAAAAAAAAACTATGTTTCTCTAACTCGAATATCATGCTCAATGCATAAAAATTTAAAATTTTGATTTTGCCAATTCTACCTTCTATACTATGTTACAAACATTCAGCAGCTAAGGGTGAAAGTTCGGTTTTCGTATTGAATAAGTAATGTTAGGCAATTGGGTAAGGCCGCCTACGAACCGAGATCATACCAGTCGCAACATCTCCATTAAAAGTGTCATTAACATTGTTGTTTAAACAAGTTGTTGATATTCAGCAGCAGCATAATTCAAGATTAAATATTTAGCCTATCATATCAATTTACAACACATAAATAAACTAATATTGCCAATAATTCTGAAATTTTAAACCATCGAAGATCAATAAACAACAAAGATTAAGAATTTACCCTTTTCATAGCATAGCCTGAGAGTTTCAGCATCAAAAATTTTGAACCCAAGCTTCGTCCCCACAGCAAAGCAACTTCATATAATCCAAAATAAATAAGGAAAAAAAAAACACCCATTAATTTCAAAATACCAATAACACAAATCAAAGTATAACGCTGAAAACCCCAGAATTAAATTAACCTGTAATCCTGATTGAAAGAAGCGCAGAGAATTGGGTATGATGAATTTTGGTTTGCCATTGTCAGAAATTACAGAAAGAGGAGAACTTGATTAAGAATTTTGGGTAATTGTAATTGAATTATAGAATACTGAAACCCAGAATCAGAAAACAAAAGAGATTTGATTAAAACAAGAGGAGAGATTTAGGTATGATGATAGTTTATTGGGCGATAGTTAGAAATTGTGAACAAAAATTAAATTAAATTAAATTGTGGGATCACGGATTACAGAAAGAAGTGAATGAATGAGGAAGATGATTGAATTAGTAAGATTCTGGGTTGTGAAATAAAATCAAAAACAGTTGGTGTTAAAAAGTGATGATTTTGACTTCAAATAAGAACATTATTTATACTGTGCCTAAACTAGCTCAATTGGTCTTTTGTGCAGGTAGAGTTTGATCACATCTCGGGCAACGTTCGACTAAAACGATTTAATTATCGATTCAGGCCAAAAGATGGACTGGAATACTGGATGAGGAAAAAAAGACTGTTCACCGGTCTGCTTTTTACTCATCGGTCCGACTCATATCAGTTCGGACCAGACTAATTTATTTTAAGTATGCAATATGATTTTTTTATTTTTTAAAGAACTTCTATAAATTAGGAGCTTTTAAAAAAAAAAATATTATGAACTATTTAATACGAAGTACTAAGTAAAAAGATACCAAGTATTACTCCGTATATAATTTGATCAAATATTGGTCCAGCTTGGTTCAATCTTTTTTATTTATTTATTTATTTATTTACAACAACAAGAAAACCCTAAATTAATTATAAACTATATTACACATTAGAACATTAGGGGTAGAACCATATAACAACCTTCTATTCAAACAACTTCAGTGGGGTAGGACGCTTTCCTTTTTGAACCACTCATCCTGCAAAACAAAGAGTTAGTGAATACAGAGTAAGTTAAATTTATCAGAGAATGACTTTTCCTTCTACCTTTGCAACGACGGGAGGAAACCAATATCATCAAATTCTGAGAAAGGAATTGTTGCGGCTCACAACAAACTTCAATGGAGTGTAGACTGGAGCAACTGGAAGGGGCACCGACATACTTTCACACGATGACACTTGATTAACCATACCTATAGTCAAATCTTCTTGTGCCAAACCTGGAGTTGTTTCACACCTATCATGCCCTTTTCACAGGAAGGTGACTAATCTCCATCGGTGTAAAACTTTTTGAATTTCAACACAATCCATCCATTTTCTTTAGAGGATTGAGTACTCAGATGCTAATAAAATCCTTCCTAGAGGAGCAATAGTAGTGTAGTGTTCGTCCCTTAGAAATCGCTCCATACATTGTTGGAGTGAGATGCAAATAGGTATCAATACGTTTTCGGTTATAAAACCGATAACTTGACGCTGTAAGATTTGGGTTTTTTGTATTTGAAGTTCAACCTAAGTATGGTAATACGGCAATTGGTTCAATCTTCAAGTCTAAATTTTCGAATTTTAGTTCCGGTCTTTAACTGGTGAGTGATGAATGACCATGCTAATATTGACTTTTGGTCCAACTTTATTGGTCCAATTAGGTCTCATAATAGAGCAATTGGTTCAATCTTCATGTTTTAATTTTCAAACTTTAGTTTTCCGGTCTTTAACTGGTGTTAATAATGTCTCAAATAATAATACTTCCTTCGTTAACTATTATTTGCAACAAAGGGGGTGTTTGCGGACTCCTAGGCAAAATATGTTTGTGAGAGTAAAATGGAGAGAGAAAAAGTTGGATGCATGTGATGAGTAGAGAGATAGAGAGAAATGATTACCTAAAAAGAAAAAAGAAAAAAAAACATTTGTTGCACATAATAATTAGCATCCATTTATAGTATATGTTGCAAATAATCGTTAACGGAGGTAGTAGTTTTATTTATTAGTTACATTTACTGATTTTTGTTGTTACCTTTACCCTGTTTTTTTTTCCTTTTTTTAATCCCTCTTAAGTTTGCCTTATATTATAAACCATCATTTCCTCTTAGCTACTCAATAAATGAATCAATTTGAATAAACAAGTTTTTTGACTCATTACTTTAACGGTTAAAAAATCATGAAAATTTATACGTAGTATGTTGAATATAATATATATACATTAAGATTACACAATACAATAACTATGAAAATCACCATATAGTGTTGTAGTAGAATATGTCAAAAACTCAAAATTATCAAAATCAAAGTGCTAAAAAATCTTAATATTATGAAAGTCAAAGTGCTAAAAAATCTTAATATTGTGAAAGTCAAAGTGCTAAACTCATTAATATCGAAAATCAAAGAAGGTTCACCGTTCACCACACTACTAATCCGTATCACATTCACCATATTTGATCCCACCAATATTCTCTCACACGAACTCCACCCAACCTAATACAAAGTAAAGAACTTGATATAGATTACTAGGGAAATGATTTTTGACTGCATATCCTCATAGAGTACAGTTTTCTATACTCTTCTCACGTAGGAATGTCCTAAAATCAATTGGTGGTGTACCAAAATCACTTTTTAGCGTACAATTAATATTGAACAAGTAAGGTATCATCTGGAGCAAGAGAGATTTGAGCATAAGAATCAAAGAAAACGACAGTATTTGCACAAATTGTACTGCCACCAGATTACATCACACCAACCTACCAACCTACAACCAGTAGACGGCTAAAACTTAGTACTACTCTTAACAGCTTTTTGACCATTATGTTACATCAACCCTCTCTCTACTCATTCTTACTACAACCAAAATAGCATCTTATACATATATTTTCCCAAATTATATTTACATTCACAAGTTATCCCAAACAAGAAACTTAATGCAGAAATTATATTTAAAAAAAACATGCCTAAACTCTATATGAGTGAACTTTTTACACCTCTTTTCCAAATTAATTAATAATGTAGGACAAAAATTACTACACATCTTTTTTCTTTGTAGCTATGATTTTGTTTCATTTTATATTTTATTAATTTATTAGTTTTAAGCTATCTTGGGCCAGAGAGTTCCATGGCAAAAGAATCCAATGAATGCTCATCATCATCATCATCATCAAAACTTGCTCCAAACATGGTTGTAGGTGGAGGGTGATGAGGATCGGTTGGCATGCTCCCAGCACGCGACAAAGTTTTGTTGTTCGGGTGGGAGAAGCCCATGTTGAGATTGTCTTGACCGTGGGCAGCAGCCCATTTCTCCGCGAGTCCATCTCCCTCGAGCATTCGTACCACCTCGGACATTTTGGGCCGGTGGGCCGGCAAGTATTGGGTGCAAAGCAAGGCAACTTGAAGAATCTCTCCTACTTCTATCCTGTCATAGTTGGTCCCTAGTTCCCTATCAACTAGCATTTCCACTTTTTTCTCCTGCAGAATTTTCTTAACCTAAATGCAAAAACATGGCATGTATAAAGTGGTTTAGCAACAATTGGAAAAGAAAGTGAAGCAAAAGAAATAGACTAAAGAGAACCAAAACAAAATTGTGGGCTTGAGGTCCAATTATTGAGAAAAAGTAGAGAAAAAACTTATTACGGGTAAAAGTAGTACTCGTATGATAAACAGACAAGGTTGCATACGTTAACATTCAAGCAGGACGGAGGGAGTATAAAGTTTTTTTTTTACTATAACAAAAGATGTGATACACGTGTTTCGAGCAACTTTACAGCAAAGAAAATCCAGCACTTCGTGCTAGGAAGATACCATATAATCTTCTACAATTAATAATTGCTGATGCTTAGTATAAATAATCTCTAATCTTAAGAAACACAATCATTTGATAATACCCTATTCTGCTTCTTGAATGAATAGATTTATGTTTAAAGTAAGAACAAGGGGGATCCACATTATGTTTATCCTATAAAAGATATGTGGATTAAGAAGGGACCCATCTCCCTCAACGGCTTAGGCATTTGCTTTTGTTTAAGCATATTATAACACTCTCCAATATTGGAAAGATTTCGCAATCAACATGATGGTTGATTACTAAAGTGGTCAAATAATTATAGTGGTGTAATCATATGGTTTTACTACTAATACACGATCAAAATGACTGTATAATTATCAATCAAGTTGATCTCCCACTAAAAAGTTACTGTGATAATTAATTAAACAAACACACTTCTACATGGAATGTACACAACAAAATCTACATATGAGTATATGACCTATATACAATGTTATTAAGACTGGTAACTACGGCTATGTTCTTTTTACCTCAAAAAAAAGTTTTGGGATATACACGGTCATATATATGGGTTACACAATTTATTTGAAGATAATGTTTATGAAAGTTTTAAGTCGAGTTCTAATAATTTCAAATAAGGGGAAGCATGCAAGTGTAAAATTATGCAGGAAATTGAATCATAGATGAGCAAAGAGAACTTACCCAATCGAGCATTGCACCTTTCTGATTAACAGTCTTGCCAAATTCGAGTGCTCTCATCCCAGTAATTAGCTCTAGCAAAAGTATGCCAAAGCCAAAAACATCAGTCTTTTCAGATGACTGGCCAGTGGAGAGATACTCAGGAGCTATGTGCCCAACAGTTCCACGAACAGCGGTAGTAACATGAGAATCACCATGGTCAAGAAGCTTTGCAAGGCCAAAATCGCCGACAATAGCCTCATAGCAATCGTCCAATAAGACATTTGCAGCCTTAACATCTCGGTGGATGATCTTGGGGTCACACTGCTCATGCAAATAGAGAAGCCCTCTAGCTGCTCCTATGGCTATCCTTTTCCTCGTGTTCCAGTCTAATGGTGGTTTTCCTGCAATAAGAACGAAAGAAATACCTTCAATCAGCATATTGTTTGACGAGCAGAAAATGGACCCACATAGGTATATTGTATAATCACTATTTTAAGGATGATTATACTCTTATCAATGATTTCAATACTTTCTTAGGGTTACAATATAATCATGCTGTTGATCTGAATGGAATATATAGATTACCTTGAAAAGTGAAAAACATAGTATAATCCTAAACTACTGTATTAAAATGTAAAACTACTCAACAAAATGCAAGTATTTTGTACTTCTAGCTCAACAGTCTAGATACTTAAAAGAAACATGCAAGACATTTCAGTGTGTAAACAACCTTTTAGCCTTGAAGCCACACTTCCGTTGGACATGTAAGGATACACTAGAAGGCGCTCATGAGAAGTAGCACAAAAGCCGATCAAACGAAGCAAATTTCGGTGAACAGCAAGGCTGATCAGCTCCAATTCAGTCTGAAACTGTGATTCTCCGGATGTTCCACTGATATCCTTTAAGCGCTTCACGGCCACCATAGAGCCATCGGGCAATTTGCCCTTGTAAACATTTCCAAACCCTCCACTGCCAAGAATATTCTTTGAACTAAAACTGTCTGTTGCATTGTGAAGTTCTTTGAAGGAGAATGTCCTCAAATTACCCAATTTTATTGAAACAATTTCTTGTGTATCTGCTACAAAAATTAAAACACCCTTCTAAGAATGCAAACAAAACATACTAGTGGTTCAATATGGAAATAGAATGAGTCATGCAAATTCGATCTTTACCATTGATCTTCATCATAAATCGACGGCGTCTCTTTTGCCTTCTCCAGTAAATGACCCCAACCAATAAGATAAAGAACAAGACAATGCTAAATGTCACTCCAAGTGCTATTGCCACTTTCTTAGACTTTCTCTTTCCTACAATTTTATTTAGATGCATAAAATAAGAACCCAATTCACCAAAACATCACAACTTTGAAAAGACACTTAATCATGCAATGGACATTACCAGGAGACGAACCAACGGATAATGATAGAGGTACCGGGACAACCAAACTCGAACAACCATCAGTAGTAGCTTTACTTCCACAAATCAAAGGGTTTCCCACAATACTATCAATCATCAATAATCAAAGAATAAGTACAATCATTAACAATCATAAACAACCAAACAAATTAAGCATGATTAAATAAAAGTAACAAAGAAAAGATCATATAGAAACAATCATAATAAACATACTTGAATGTTCTAGTAGGAAATTTTGGTACAGGTCCACTTAGATTATTAAAGGACAAATCCCTACACAAATTCAAACCAACAATCATAAATAATACAAAAATATCAGCCATTTGCTAAATCCATTAATCTATGAAAATGAAGGTTCAACCTTAAATAGGACAAAATGAAAACAAACAAGAAGATATTAAAAAAAAAAAACTATATAATATACAAATATTTATTCAAAATACCCTAAGAAATGTAAATTACTCACAAGAAAGTAAGCTGAGACAAATTGGCAAGAAATGCCGGAAAGGCACCACTCAACGTATTATTGTTCAGCCTCCTGAATTACAGACAACATTAGAAACAAACACTAACTAAAGAACAAAACAAATTTGCTCATTTTTTTAATTTCTTCAATCCAAATGAAAACTTACAAATATTGGAGGCTTTTGGATTGACCCAAAGTACTAGGGACATGTCCAGAGAATCCATTGTTAGAAAGATCCAAGGTTTGAAGTTTTGATAATGAGCCAATTTCCGGTGGAATTTTGCCGGAAATGTTGTTATTTTGAAGTAATCTACAAACCCCAAATCACCAAAATTATTAAAAATTTCAAAATTATAAAATACACTCACTATTAATTGTAAAATATGATTTTTTTTTTTTTTTAAAATACTGTGCACGTAGGCTCGAGAGAGACCCGAATTTATATTAATGATTACTTACACTTGTCTGAGGTTAGTGAGGTTTCCAATTGCCCCAGATAATGTTCCTGAGAGAGATTGGCTTGGAGCTCCCCTGTTTTATACACACAAAAAAAAAAAAAAAACAGAGGAATTTATTAATTTAGTGACATTTTGAGCATAAAATAAGATTAAAATTAAGAATTAAAAAATGGGGTTGAAGAAATAAAATTACAGGCCAATGACAGAATTATCAGAAGAACAAGTGATCATAGCCCAACTACAAGGATCAGCAGAAAATTCATCCCAATTATTCAAAACTCCATGAGGGTCATTTAATTGATTTTTGATACCAATTAATGCTTCCACTGTCAAAAAAATCCAGAAAAAAATAATGGGTTTAGAAATTAAGCAAAAACCCAGAAAAACCCAGAATTTAAAATTGTGAAAAAAGATTTACCTTCAAGATTACGAGGCTCATAAGAGAGAGAAAATTGTAAGAAAGAAGACAAAAAAAGGAAGAAGAAGGAGAAGAAGAAAGCCATTATTGTGTAAAGCTTGAAGCTCTTAGTAGCAGGAAATGAAAATGATTATGTTGTTGCATTTCTTACATAGCGTGAGAGAAAGTTAAATCAAAGCAAAAAGAAAAAGCTAACAGAAAATAATTTAAATAAATTATAAAAAACTAAATAAAGAAATACTCTGTTTTTTTTTTTTTTTTTTTAAATACAATCTCTCTTTATTTTGCTTTCTCTTTCTTGGTTTGTGGGGGGAGTGTTTCTCTTTTTCGTGAGTCGTTTTTCTCTTTTTTCAGTCTACCTTCTTTTTTTTAGTGGTATCCCACAATAAAAAAAAAATAAAAGATACTGTTGTCTTTAAAAAAAAAAAAAATAATAATTGAGATTAAATAAAAATTAGGAAGCGATTTAAGTTTACTTGTGATTTACCTAATTACGCACCACTAAGTAATTAAACAGTCAATAACACAGTATTACTGTTGGAAAAAGCATAGAGGTCGCAAGCATGTCAATTAATTCATGATCAAGTCTGGTCCATTCGAGTCAAGTTATGCTCTGTTCGGCTAAGATGTATTTCGATTCAGATGGAGTATGAATTTGGTCTTTTGTGTTTATTGTCAATCACGCAATGCGAGTACTTACTAAGTTCTAACAAAGATCAATTCCAACAATATAAAGTACTCGTATTTATTTTCAAACCAATTAGAGCTCTAAAACCGACAACCTAATTTTAGTATTGTTCGAGTTTAAGGCATATGATTTAGGGCATGTTCAGCTAAATTTCAGTTCAGTTCAACTCCTAAATTCCTTCTCTCATAAAATATTCATTTTAGCTCTATTCGGTTCAGTTTAGTTCAGCTTAGTTCAGTAAATGTGAACAGACCCTTAGTAAGATGACATCAGTTTGTTGAGTAATTCGTATACAATGCCAACATTAAGGGTATGTTCTGATTGATAGAGCTGAGCTGAACTGAACTTATTGGAGCTAAACTGAACATATTATAAGAAAAGAAAATTAAGAACTGAACTGAACTGAATTTGTTAGAGCTAAACTGAACTGAAAATAATTGAAAAAGAGTTCGCGCTAGCAGTTCAATCAGCTAAACACAATACATTATAATGATTAGCAACTAAACAATAAAATATACTTACAATTTACAAATAAGACTTTTTTCTTTTCTTTTTTGTAATGAATTTTGGTAGTGCAGAAAGTGTGAGCTGAAAAATTCACCTAACACCAACAGAAAAATACGACCAAGCAAGTGTGACTGTGAAAAATGAGGTGGGAAATTGCTTGTAGTAGACATAACAGGAAGATCAGTAAAGAGCATGGGCTGATTTCAGAAGGGCTACAATTAGTCGAGGCCTCTTTTGTTCTGTTTTGCTCTTGTCAGTCAGTAGTCTGTGCTTCAGTGTATAATTTTCACACCCAATTCTCATTTCTACTCATTTGATTTGATTTGATTTGGGCTTTCTCATCTTCTTTGCTTTCTTTGTCATTTCCCATTAGGAATTATGGTCTTGAGAAATTTTATGTGCGTAACGCTAACGTTGGAGCCCTTGGAGGGGTCTAGTTACACGAGGACATACACGTACAAAAACGAACATGAATACGGATATGGATATAAAATAGATACAAAATATGTCAAAAAAAAATAGCAAAAAAAATCATGGAGTAATTTATAACATATAATTAAAAGGAAGATTTTATGAAATTTTCAATAAAATGGTAAAATTTAACCTAAATATTCAATTAGAGATGAAAAAATAGCATTACAAAGAAACCAATAAAATGAAAAAACTAAAAACAAAATACATCAAATTAAATAATTTGTAGCTAAGTATTTATTACCCATAAAGTATATGAGTAGACATGTAGGGCTTGTTTTGATTGACTGAATTAAGCTGAACTGAACTAAACTTATTGGAGCTGAACTGAACTGAATATTTTATGAGAGAAAGAAATTGAGAACTGAACTGGACTGAACTGAAAATAAGCTGAAGAGAACAGGCCCGTAGTGCCCACATAGCCTCATGTATGTGTTATGTGTCCAATACAATTACACCGGCCAATTGAATTTGATTACTCGTACGTTATTACTAGACTTCATAAAATTGATTCGTATTTCAAAATTATTGTGAATTTTGAACTAGAAAGCCTATTTTAACTCAATTGAACTAATTATTTAGTCTTTTCATCAATACCAGATTTTCATTAGGTTTTAATTTTTTATTTTTTATTTATTATTATTAAAAGATTTTCATTAGATTATAATACTAAATTTAATGACTCATCACTCAAATAGACTTGGAATAAATATATACGGATAGCTACTTATGTTCAAATTAAACTCAACGTAGTGATTGACTCATAACCTATAGAAGTTAGTATCGGATATTGTACGAAGTATATCAGTTTTTCAATATATAAGGTCAACAAGGACATGATCAAGCTTACCCAAAAAAAAAAAAGGGGGGACGTGATCAAGCTCTTTACTTGTTTAAATTTACTTATTTTGGGTTGTTGGCCAAGTTTTAAGGTCATTTAATATTGATTTCACATAGATCAACCTTAAACTTGGTACCAACAAATTTATCAATTCAGTTAGGTAGGTTCATCAGATTAAGTGTTGTTCTCTTCACTCCTGTAGAAATGTTCAATAAAAATAGTTTTGATTAATAGAAGTAAAATTTTGTAACTTCAAAGAACAAATATAACTGAAAAATTTAAAATAAATTTTAATTAGTAAAATGCATATCAAACAACATGCATTATTAAATAATTATTAATCAATGTATAACTTTTATTTAATAAAGATAGAGGTGTAACAAAGCTCTAATATTACCACACAAAATGACAAATAATTGTACCAACATTTAAAGTTATTGTAATTGATTGGTAGACTACTTCTAAGCATTATTCTCACCTACTCTAAAGCCTAGACCATGTGAGATTTTGAGAACGTTCATTTACATTATTTAAATAGAGTAGTACCAATTTTTGTACCAACAATCATGTGTGAAATTTTATTACAAAATATAATTTTAAAAAAATTATAGGGTATATCATTATTATTATTATTAGACAAATGCTAACGAACGTCACGGGGGCGTTGGATAAGCTAGTTAATAGTAGAAAGATTAAATTAAAATTAACATTAATTACACCGATCAACCCGTGATTTTGTCATGCTTTTCCAAATTAATACCACTTTAGGTAAGATTTTAAATGCTTATCCAATGCCCCAGGGGTGTTCGTTAGCAAGATCCTTATTATTATTATTACTATTATTATTATTATTATTATTAAAATAAAACAAAAAAAAAATGTACATTTACAATTGTAATGAACTCTAAATATATTCATTAACTAGGTTAGATCCCGTGCCATGCACGGTTTTTAATTTTTGTCACAGAGTATCAATTTAATTTTTTTTTAAAATCTCAGATCAAGCTACTTAATTTTTTATTTTTTTTAATACATATTATATTGCTTCCTTCTATTTTGAACCTTGATGGCAATTTATCTATATTTCAAACCAAGTTGAAAAATATATATTCATGATTTTTTTTTTTTACTATAAATAATCATTATACATTAAAAAGTAATTACTAATATAGGAATTTATTTATACAAAGATATGGTTAGATATTTATGTTTATAAATATATTATTCTACGATTATTTTCCCTAAATTTTGGAAGTAAATATTTTGCGTTTATAATTTATCAATTTTTAAAAGTTTTATTTTTTAAATTTAATTTTAAAAATATACTAAGGGCACACAAGAAGATGACACGTTTCATTGTTGGTGTGTCTTTTAGGGCCTGATCATATTTACTGAACTGAGCTGAACTGAACTGAACTGAACTGATTGGAGCTGAACTGAACCAAACTGAACTGAACTGAAAAATAAAAATGCATAAAACTGAACTGAACTGATTAGAGCTGAACTGAACTGAACTGATTGGAGCTTAACTGAACTGAACTAAACTGAAAATAAGTAAATATGAACAAGCCCTTAGTATATAGTTATTGATTGATTGATTGATTATTATTCAAGATTCTAAAGCACACACAATTTCTTAAACTATGGGGCAATGCTTTCCTAATGTATGGGGGTAAGAGAATGAGAAGCTATTATGTAAGGCTTGCAATAATTTTGTTAATTTTACTTTTGAGTAACCATGAATAATTGAACATAGAAGTTCATATATCCAAATCTTGATCAGAATACATTTAAAAAAAAAAAAAAAAAACCATTCAATGGATTGAGGACAATTTTTTTTTATTAATTCATTACCATTGTTTTTGAAATTTCTTATAATATTTTCTTATACCATATGACAAAACAAAAGCTCATGATCAATAAAACATGTCAAATTTTAGAACTTTAATTAAAATGAACATAAACACGTACTAAGTTTTTTAATACAAACCTTTTAAAAAACAAGTTATAACAACTTTTCTTCCAATACTTCTGAATTTTTGATGCAATGATACACATGACTTTTGACGAGTGCAAGGTTTCAACTAACAAATACGCATAAACCTATGGTCTATTGTAAAGATTTCCAATAATCCATGTCCCCATATGAAACTTTTATTTTTTCCTTCAACGATTTTGCCACATTCGTATACACATATCAAAGTAAAAGCAAAGAGTTTTTTCAATTATATCAACGTCCATCCATATTTTATATCAGTCATATTATTCTTTAGAATTGAATAAATCTGAATTTAAATAAATTTAAATTACGAGAACTCCAAAAGATCTTTTTTCAATTTGTTCTTCCATCTTTTATATTAGTCATATTCTTTATGATTGAATAAATCTGAATTGAATTAAATTTAAATTACCAGAAATCCAAAAGATCAAGCAATTATACACTATGTACATAATTCAAACTTTGTCCCATTATCTAATCTACTCAATTGTATGTTTATATATATATTTTCTTTTAGTAATAAGCTCCCAACAAGAGAAATTTACAAGTCTCATCATTGAAGGGTATGTATCAAGTGAAGTTCCAAAACAAATCCATTCACAATAGAAGTAAAGCAAAGACCTACTTAAGTATTACGAGCTAAGCTAAAGGCTTGTTCTCTTCATATTATTTTCATTTCAGTTTAGATCGGTTTTTAATTTCCTTCTCTTATAAAATATTCAGTTCAGTTCAGTTCAACTCAACTCAATTCAGTCAATCAGAACATACCCTAATTTAAACCTATTACACATGAATATGC